AAGCAGGATTGGCTCTTGTGTATTGGAGAATAGATGTTTGTGTTGTTGAGATGAGGTGACATTCCTGGGCATGGCTTCAAACCTGTAGTCAAGCGCTTTGAGTCAGTCAGGGGTGCAACAGAGTGATTAAATTCCAACTCTGACACACCGACGCCGGAGCTTCTGGGCTGACATTTTGGGGCCACATTCCATTTTCCAAACCCAGAGGAGTGTGGATAAACATCAGACCTTTTTACAGTGCCACGCTTTCCCTGCTTAGACCAACATGTGTGTGGGTTTTTGTATATTTTTGGGACAAAAATAGGGGTAAAAACAGGTGAGCCCTAAAATGTAATCTTTTTTAACTGAAAATGTAAAGGGTTAGGCTTATATTTAGGGTTAGGCTTAGAAAATCCAGAGATTTTCCTAATTTTCCTGATATTCCCTGAATTAGTTATGCATTCATTCTATTTTCCACTCTTGCATATGCATTAATATGTTTGGAGTGGGTGGGGTCTCCAAATAGGATGTCATTTAGGGCTCTGAAATGTTCAGAAACCATAAAAGGCATAAGCGACCCTGCCTGATGTTATGTAAAAACAAACATGTACAGTGCTCAAAATTAGTCTTGGAACACTCTCTAAATATAATTAATATCTTTTTATTTATTACTTTCCGATCTAAAGTTTTTGCTCACTAGGTTTACTAACTGAAACCCAAAAAGTTCTCAGTAGTTAACTGAAAACATTAGTAGGTCCAATAAAACAACTAAACCCTTTAATGTCCTCACCAAAAAAAAGCAATGGAATTTTTTTGTGTATTTTTTTCTTTTTTTGGGTCAATAATAAAAACAATTGGGTTTTTATGTTTCATTTTTTTGACCCCACAATTTTTAAAATATTCACGTTCACTAAATGGCACTTTGTGGCATATATAGTGACTCAAAATGTGGTTGAGCAGAACATTAAAGGGTCAAACATTAGTGAGACAAACATTAATGTGTCTGTCCTTTATGTAGGTTTATCATATGTCCCCTCTGAGCTGCACCGAAACCCCTCACTCAAATCCAACCCTGTGTCACATCAAACTAGGTTTCTAGCCGTCTACTTGCGGTCTCCAAGGTGACCCAAGAAAAGTACACCAGAAGAGCCGTTGTGACTGAGCAAAAGATACACTGCAAACAAGCTACAGCAGAAAAGCCTGAGCCTTCTGAGAGTGCTGAACTGGAGGAAGCCCTGCAGGGTTTAAACTGTAGGAAGGCAGCAGGATATGAGAACATCCCTCTGGAGTTCATAAAGTACATGGGCCCTCAGGCCCTGGCTGTCTCAATAGAATCATCAACACAAATCCAGTTCTGAAAATATGGCGAGCAGCAAAAATCGTCGGTAAAGATCCTAATCTACCAGCGAATTACCGCCCAATCTCTCTTCTCTGCGTCTCATATTACAGCATATATCTCTAGGAGTCTAGAACACCCTCACAGACCAGGATGGGTTCCGTAAGGATCATAGTACAGGGGAACAAGTGCTGGGCTTATGATACTGTCTGGCACAAAGGCCTTTTACCCAAACTTACAGTTTCTCCCTGTTTGGGCAGCAGCAGTAACAGTTGCTCACCAACGGGAGGTTCAGAGTTCACCTTGGACAGAATAAAAGCGCATTGAGGAGACAGATTAATGGCCTCGTCTGAGGATCAGTTCTTGCCCCAACCTTATTCAACCTCTATATAATTGTCTTACTCTATATCAGCTCTCGCAGATTCATTTATGCTGATGTCTGCCTGGCAGCCCCAGCGCCAGACTTTGATTCAGTGGAGTGGGTGCTCACTGAAGATCTTTCAAAACTGAGCCATTACTGTAAAATTTGGTGACTAACGCCAAGTCCAGCAAAGACGATAACAGCCATGTTTCATCCTCACAAAGCAAACGCTGCCAAAGAGCTAAACATCCAGCTGAGTGGAGCTATGCTGAGGGATGGTCCCAACCCAGCATATCAGGGCGTAACCCTTGATAGGGCTTTGTCCTTTGTGAACACAGAGCCTGAAATTCATTTTTCAAAATGGAGAGGAATTCCCCCATAAATGATTCACATAGGGGGGATTTATACACTTTTGGGGGATACTACTTGTGAGCTTAACTGTAGGTCTGACCTTGTTCCGTTCTTTTTGAAAGAAGGACACTCCATCTCTTTCCTGAATTTAACCAGATGACCAAATTTTGAATTAGCCAGTTCGTTTCTGCTATAAAGCAGGCGGTTTTGAGAAGCCCCATCGTTTCCTCCTCACCCTGCAACTGCGCAACTTCAACAGCATTAGCCGTCAGACTCTTTGCTTAATCTGCCTCATACTTTCAATGCAAGGCTGCGGTTTGAGAAACGCCGTCTGAGCGGCGCCTTAAAGTTGATGCTTTGTAACGTCAGCTGGTAAAAGACGCAGCACCGCACATTTTACAAATCGAGCAGCTCATTTCAATGTTGTTAAGTTCGAGATACAGATACATTCTGAGCCAGTTAGTCTGAAACGTGTCTTTGTGCTGCAGCTTCACCTCACTAACGTTACTGTTACCTGACTGAGGATCCTGAGGATTAATACTGTTAACGCTGACATCGTTAGCACTGCTGTTTGTGCCCTGTTGGGTTCTGGTGTTTTTTCTGAGCAGGTTCCACTTCAGATGATGTAGATTTACGTTTTAGCCAGCGCTCCATGTTCGCAGGCCTTCAAGTCCACATCATTGAATCCTGACTGTGAATGTTAGTGAGAGGCGCTGCAGTAGCAGAGGGCGCTCGTAGGCTCGTAGATAGAGGGAGAGAGAGAGCGGCAAGTGTGTTGTCCAGAGCGGAAGTCGGTCCGTTCGGCCAGTCGTCCCGCATTCCGCACTGGTGCAAACGTTGGCTGAAAATTATTAAACATTGCTGTAAATGTCTGTGGGAGTTTCCAGCGTTGTGTCAGATTTGCGGGAATCGATTAAATTAAGCGCAATCCCACACTACAATTCAGGCCCTGGAACATCTGAATGGAGTGGTGGCTAAGGTGATGTCCAGAAACAACGTCACCTTAGCCACTATTGCTGGAACTAAATGCGGTGCAGCAGCTTCCACACCACGTACCTCGGTCCTGGCCCTTACGTACTCTGTTAGCAGAAACTTGTGCTTCCGTCTGGTCCCGTTTATATAACTTGGGTCCTCAGCTTAATGCAACCATGTGCGTCGTTACTGTCTGTTCAGCACCACTTCCCTCATTCAACGAGTGGCACTCACCCAAAGGATGCTCCAAAAAGAGAGAGATTCCCTTCACGTACCAATCCATGTAGACATTTTTAACCCTTGAGTGGTGTTAATGTGTGTGTGTTACTCAGTGGTCTGGTGGACCCACCACAATATTGTTTTTATAAATCAATACAGCCATAACAATTTATGTAAAAATATCAGATGTTTAAAATATCACAAGTGTCCAGCCTAGGGTTCTCCTTTAGCAGCTGTAGCCAGTCAGCAGCCTGTCCATGTTGTCCACCCTCACACACACACACAGACACACACACACACACACACAGACTAACAGCAGGCCATGTAGGAGGAGAACAGAGTGAAGGACACAGCACCTCCACACTTTTACTCCCCGCGGGTTCACCCAACACCACATGTGTAATATAAATGTGTGGGGGGTGAACAGAGTGAAGACACTGAAAATGGGTTATTTTATATGTTCTTCACAGAAAATGAGCAAAGACCAAGAATCTGAGGCTGAAATAATAATAAATCACATCATTTTTTCTTTTGGTAAACATTGAAAACGGGTCCCACAGACCTGAACACCACACAAGGGTCAACTCACCAGCTTTTCATCTCCTTTCATGATTGCCCAATCTGGACTTCACCATTCAATTGGCCTGGGAAAAAAGAATGGGAATCCAAGGATGTCCCAAAGTACCATCTGGTGTCATACCCTACCCAACAAGTCCCTGGTACTGACCTCTCACAGAGAGAGTGGTCAACACTCAACAGATTCAGGACTGACCACAGCCCATATCTGAGCAGCCTTCAGGTGGAGCCGCAGCCCAAGCCCACTGAGCTCGTCCTCTGTGAGGGATGAAAGTAGAATTATTTGCTGTAGGTTAAGATGCACTTGCTTGGCTGAAGGACTTCGCATTCGCTAAATAATAAATAAATGTCGTTTGGTCAGTATTTTATTTTATTTGAGTTAGTATTTGTTTATTATTCCTTCTTTTGGGTGAGCTTGAAGTCTCTTAGGCACAGAGTGCATCAGTCACAACCGATGTTTAACCAGGTTTTCTAGAGTTTTCCTTGTTTTAGACATTTTCTGTATGTTTCCAAGACTTCAGCACATTTTTCACACTTGATTTTATCATTTTCTGTGTAATTTTCAGACTTTATCACAGACATTTTGCAACCAAGTTATCTAAAGCAATATATTTGGGAATGTTAGTGAGGTTTTGAGTCAAGGTTGTTGGGTGGTGAATTTACAGGAGCGGTGTTGGGGATCTCTGATTTGAACATGTGTGTACACACCTGGATTTGTTTAAAATGAAGGTTGGGTGAAAGTTTTCACCTAACAGTAGGTTGTTATTGTGCAGTTGGTCCAAAAGTATTGATTTATAAGTTATTAAATAGCTGAAATTATGTACTTTTGAATATAAAGCAAAGCAACATTTCCATAACATATTAACAAATAAAAACAAATGATGATAAAAGGGTTCCAAAACTAATTTTGAGCACTTGTGTGAGTGAGAGTATCATAAGATTGAGTAGTTACTCATTCAGGCACTACTGTATGTTGGATTAGGGTAAAATGTGTTGGTAAAAGATGGTGTTTGGTGCTCATAGAATAAGCGTGTCAACCTGTGAACAATCAGAAAAGAAGCAAATATTTATGCTGTATTAAAAGTAACATCTTGAAAAATATTATAAAATTGGGTCACTTAAAATCAGTGAGCATTTAATATCTCCTCCTTTGACTTTCAGTATGAAATGTTTAACAATTAACTGTTGCTTTCACTCCATTCAAAGGTACCACCCTACCATACACTACTCCTCAAACCACCAGCTGTTCTTCCTCTGGATTGGGCTGCCCAGGTAAGAGGAATCTGCTCTTTTCCAGTTTTTACATCAAACATGACTGAGAATTTCTCACCACTCACAGTTCAGAATCTTTAAGATCCATAAGTACCGTTTTTACTTCATCAGAGTCTGTAGCCTATTGTGGCTTTGGCTTATCTACAGCGACCCTCTTTCCCTTCCTGACAGTTACTGATCCTCGTTTGTTAGCTTAATCCATATCCAGTCCAACCAGCGTGCTTGTTTTCACATACAGATCCCGTGAGTCTACTGTTTCACCACATTAAGGAAACCCCCTTAATCATGTCGATAGCCAGCAGACTTCCCTCATCAAGCAGGCAGCCAGGAGAAAACAGCACCAACGTTCCTAGTAAAGGTCATAAAAGGTCGCTGTCCAGTCTCAGAATTTCCCCATGTTCCCACTCCTTCAGCTGGTGCTTGCTGCATCGTTGTATAACCATAGTTTCCCACCGCTGGTCCTGGAGTAAGCAGATTTCATTGTTTTGCTTTATCCCAGCACATTTGGCCTAACTCAGCTAATGAACCCTTAGAAGTCAGCATGCTTGCCAGGAGCCCCAAAGCGTGGTGTAATGGGATATGCATTATTACTTTCTCATAAATCTTATGCTGAGAAATTCTTATGATTTTAAACGTTATAGCAAAATAATACAGAAAAATCTCAGCTGTAACTCTTGGCATATACAGGTTACCAATACATTTAAGCGTTTGACAATGAGCTGTGTTCTGCTGAGCCTGGGCTGCGAAACGCTTCCTAAGGCTGGATTTATGTGGTGCAACTTTCATGCAGCTTTGGTTGCCCTTGAGTTGCATAACGTAGAGCATCCTGCAACTCACTGAAACAGATATAAAAATATAGAAAAGAAAAAAGGCCAACGACAGCTGGAAAGAATATTCTAAGATGATCAAAATGCTGTAAATGTCTAAATCACTCCTGACAGATGACTTTAGAGCAGAAAAGATATAAAATATCTAATAAAATAAATACAAATATAAGCTTATTGCATGCAACTTTGCTTTTGAATCACTTTGTCTAACTATTGTTGCACGGAAATGATGTTGCAGTTGTATGAAAGTTGCGGAAAAGTTTTAGAGAACTAGTAACTACTTTTAGTAGCAGTTTGTCATTTATTGTCTGATAAGTGATCGATTAGTTCACTAGAACATTACATTTTTTGACTGATGTCTGAAAATATGTCCGTATGCTGTGTAATAAATCCCTACAATTCAATAGAGTGATAAAAACAGCAGTAAACCTGCTTTATCAGTTGGACAGACGGCAGAGAAGATGAGGAAATACTGGGCCGTCAGTGCTCTGATTATCTTGGGAGACGTCGTAATTATCGTTTAACGTCTGGTTCAGATGTGCTTCTCATTTTCATGAATGTCACCCCTTTGCCACGCCCATGACGCACAGTACTGTTCAGTTGCTCCATGGATTGTTCTTGCATTTTCGGTGCCACTCTAACCTCCATTTAATGCCAATGTAACCTTTCTCCATTCCTGCCACCAGCACCATTAACTACTACCGCCCCATCCATTGTCACCACTAACACGATTCCTACTAATGCAACAACCAACGGTAAGCATCCGCCCGAGCCTTCCTCAGTTTTGAAGCTTGTCACTGTTAGCCTTTTGACTGAAAAAGTGTCACGTTGTGTCATTGTTAGCCCTTTAGCTGAAGGAGAGTAATATCATTTGCATAATTTCCAGCAGGTGGCAATTAATGTGTTTTAATTGAATGCATGTTGCAGGAATAATGAGCTTGTGTGGAATGACGGAGATAGTGATGTTTTTAATAGGAGTTCATAAACGAACGGGATCGCACTTCAAATTAAGGCTTCATTATTATCTACTTTTTAATTACATTCCAGCCTTCAGGTGGATATTTTTAATAACTGCAGTGGCTCTGATTCAAAATAGCAGGCGAGGTTCCTGCTGCACATTTCAGCACCTTGTGCTCAGATAAATTAGCTCAGATGTGGTTCCATGAGAGGTGCTTGGATTCATTTGAGCTTATTCTTTTGATAAGCTTTATTCATTCATTTATTTATTTATTTATTTATTTATTTATTTATATGTTTGTTTGTTTAAAACTGCCGTATAAACGTTTGGAATCTTTCTTTTCAATAATGTAAAAGCAGACAGATGAAGTGTGGTGGCAGGTAAATGTATAGAATGATTCTCATGTACAGTTATATGTGAAAGTTTGGGCATTCCGGGTTAAATAACATGTTTATTTGATTTTCTATGTGAAAATAAGTTACACATCCTCTGCAGAGACACGCGTCTTCACATTTTAATGCACAATTACTGTTTATTTGCTCAGCATTTTTAGGAAAAAATAAAACATAAAATGTGGCAAAGTTGTGGCACATTTAAGAGCAAATAAATAGAAATCGTGCACTGAAATTTGCAGAAAAATTCCATGTTTAAGTGTGTTCTCTGTAGAGGATGTGTTCTTCTTTTCACTCAGCTAATCATGTAATTTCAACTAGAGTGTTTGAACTTCTGTATTTGACTGTATTAGTCCTGTGCAACTCCACACACTTCATAAATTTCATAGAATTACAAATAATCAGTAGGAAAAAAATAATATATTTTAAATTATTAAATTTATATGATAAAATACATTAGAAATGTGTTGTAAAATAATAAGTATTAATTGAATTATTAAGAAAATTGATATCACATCTTGCGGCAGATAATCATGAAAGATTACAGGATATTATTTATCCTTAAAAACTATGTTGTTGCTAAAACATCTAAACATCTGAATAAACAATCTGATTGTTGTCTAGTTTAGAGTATTCAGATCTGCGTTGTGCACGTTTTTATTGCATGTAGTTTATTGTTTATCTCTTTATATGAGGTAACAAAAATATTAATATGGAAAGTCATTCCAAACCTTTAAACAGTGGTGTGTTTATTTATTTATTTATTTATTTATTTATTTATTTATTTATTTATTTAAGGCTTGTAAGTAACCTTCAGTGGCTTGGTTTTTGAGATGTGATGATACACTGTGTTACAATTGTGTTTCATAGCTGATTAACTCATTATGCAACAGTGTTTTAAAAAAAAATGTGTTTATTTCATGAATAAAGAACTTGATGACACTTTATTGAAGGGCAGCATTCATAAGGCTGCACAACACCTGTCACGACAGCTGACACAACCCTACGCAGACATTTATAAAGGCTTATTCCAACAGTCGTCAGTTGTCGTAACACTTGCGGAGGTAAAATGACATCACAGTTGACAAAGCCAGCCTATATGACAACCGACACTTGTTGGAATAACCCTTAATAAATGTTTATGCAGGTTTATGTCAGTTGTTATGAAAAGCTTAGGTGTCTTGCAGACTCACAAATGCTGCCCTTCTGTAAAATGTCGCCAGAAACTCGAGCACATTTTGAAATGACAACAAATGAATGGTGTTTATTATTTGCCGTGATAGAAATATTCAGTTTACGTATGATTTAGATGTCCTGTTTGAAAAGACAACCTCAATACACACAGAAGGTATGACTGCATACGCAGCATTAAAGAGACTCCAGCTACATGTCACAAGGTTTGATGTGGATGCATGTGCTTAGTGCTCATTTCTTTTCCGTTCTCTTTATCAGCACTTTCCACTACCATTATATTCACAACCACTCCTACCATTTCTTTAACCACAACCACTGGTAAGCAGAGGACTGTAGGTCCGTCACCTTATTCTCTTTCTAACAGTACGGGATTGTGCTAACGTGTGCTCTAACCACTCAAACGCTTTGCCCTTGTGCCATCACTAGTTCAAACTACATCATCCTCAACTACTCCAACTACCACACCCACCACAGCCAGCACCACTACTGGTAAGCTTTACTGACAGCTGTTAACTGTGAATTGTGAAATTATGACTTTAAGCTCAAATAAACATCAAAAACTAGCCAGAATTCTTACCTCTTCTTTTTCTGTACTGTAGATTATTTGTGTAAAAGCAGTTTCCAGTCAGCAGCCGAAGCAGTTCACTCTGTTTCTGCTGTGCTGTCTTCGTCAAGACACGGTCAAATTTCTTGTTTAGCCTGGTTGTGTAATTTGTCTCATTCTGCTGTCTTTATAACCAGAGCTTCTGACTACTGCCACTACTGCAACTAGCATGCCGCTAACCGGTGAGCAGCTTTATTTAACCATGTGTTGCATTCCTCTGTCATATACAGGATACATCTTCATTTACATAACGCGTAATACATTTCCTTATTTCCTTCATATGACTGACTTGTAGAGTGACAATGTTTTTGTGTTGATGTGTGCGATCACAAGTGCAAGCCATGTCAGCATCATGTCTTTTGAAGGCCTCGGTGTACTTCTAGTGGAGGTAGGGCTGGGCGATGAAACAATAATGATAATTATCGCGATATAACTTTCCTTGATAGACATATAAGAAATGTTCGATAAATGTTCGATATAGTAGAGCGTTCTCACACTTCCACGTTTAGCGACGTGGCATTTTCTACCGCAAGGAAAGCAGCACTACTCTGCTGTTGCCACGAGAGGGAGCACTTCTGAGTTTCTCTGTATGATTTGGGGGTGGGGTGGGGGGGTCAAGGAGTAAAATAAGTCGCCAAATATACTTTTGCCACGTCTGTTTGAGTGGAGCGATCGGGGATCTGCTCTCCCGTGACCGAGTGTGAGTGACGAGATCAGTGGCGTAACTGTGCTGTCCTACAGTGAACTCACCTCTTTCCTAACATCCTAACAGCTTTAGCAGCGTTAAATCACGTCTGATCCTCACAGCTACAGCACTGTTACAGCGCTCAGTCATATTTTAGTATTAGTGCATTCACAAGCAACAAAAAGTGAAAGAGCTGCACTGATTTAAACGACAGTAAACTGAGGATGCTGTATGTGAGGCATTGGGGTGTGGGAGAACGTTAGCTTCCCAGGCTAGCTGTTTTTAGCAGCTGGCTAACTTGAAGCAGCGCTGTCACTCACACAGCACGGCGAACTGATGTTACTGTAGATCAAACAAGACAAAAAGACCTGATTTCAGTTTAAACGTTCCTAAAAGGAGGACTCTGTTTGTCTGGTGTGAGAGATTCACACTGCAGTTAATGCTTTTACACAGTGAGCGTCAGATTTATTACGGTTCACCCCTCAAACTACTGTGATAGAATGGAGAAGCCCAGCCGTCGCTAGCTGGTGTCTGAATACAGTGATATGCTCTGACAGGGATGTGGTAGGAGTGACGGCAGTGAGGCGGCGTGATCCATCACTGACGTACTGAGCCAGCTAATGTTCGCTCTTCATATTAAGCTGATGATGTTGAGAAACTAAACAGTTTAGCACTTGAAACCAGACATCTAAAAATAATCCATTTTCTTTCTTAAATTATGAATATTACAAAAATAGCGGCCGTTTTTTTCCAGCTGGTAAAACCAGCTCATCCGAAACTTTCTCCCACTGCCCCATGACAGATTTGGGAAATGTTCCACTGTTTGTCGAGTGTTTATCATGTTCTGTTTTGTTTACTGTTGTATTTCTGACATCAAATAGACTCTGTTTTTTGTGAGGATGAAAGTAAGACATTAAGCTTTAGCTTGCAGTGGCTACTGAATAACTAACATACTCAGTGTACAATACAGCTGTCAGTAGCTACTGCTGATTTTTTGCTGAAAGGCCACCATCTCAATAGTAATTGCGACGGTGTGTCTTCATTCATGTGCGCTTTTCTCGTGAATACGATATTTCCAACACGATCTGAAGGAAGCAAGAGAACCAGCTTGATAGTGAACAATCATTTTAGTCTGTTTTCTTGCACTTTTACGCAGATAAATTCTCAGTAATCTGTGTTCGCCATGTTTGCATTGATCTAAAGTTACGTTTCTTCATGAGAAATTCCACCAGATCCTGGACGCAACCTGGAGACAGGACCATTAAACTGGCCTGCTGGTTTGTGAGCAGAATCTGAAAAGATGTGGCGTTTTGTTCGTGTCGTATGGAGGGCTTTGATAACTGAGGGACAACTTAAGACGAAAATGAGTGGAATCTGTCATCATCTCTCATGTTTCCATCATCAATTAAGATAGAAATAAATAGAAATTCCTACGAACGCTACTACTAGCATGCCTCTAACCGGTGAGCAGCTTTTTAAACTCTGCTGAGCTCTTTTAAACACAGTTCTACATTACACTTGACTTCCTATAACTAAAACAGTGTCTTTTTGACTTTAAAGCTTAAAGCTCTCGTCCAGGAGTGATTAGGATTAATAACCCAGTACATGTTTTTAGATCTATTCAGTGACATCCTGGGTTGGGAAAAGACTAATATCACTGTTTGAACTTGCCATTTGTGAACTACAGTGACAAATGGTTTTATTAGACTTCCGTGTCTTTGTTCTGGTGGTGTTTTTGCAGGAAGAGAGAACAGAGCTACACACCGGTCAGGCATAACATTCTGACCACCTCCTTGTTTCTACGCTCATTGTCCATTTTATCAGCTCCACTTACTATATAGGTGCACTTTGTAGTTCTACAGTTACAGACTGTAGTCCATCTGTTTCTCTGATACTTTGTTAGCCCCCTTTTACCCTGTTCTTCAGTGGTCAGGACCCCCATGGACCCTCACAGAGCAGGTACTATTTGGGTGGTGGATCATTCTCAGCACTGCAGTGACACTGACGTGGTGGTAGTGTGTTAGTGTGTGTTGCGCTGGTCTGAGTGGATCAGACACAGCAGTGCTGCTGGAGTTTTTAAACACCTCAGTGTCACTGCTGGACTGTGAATAGTCCACCAACCAAAAATATCCAGCCAACAGCGTCCTGTGGGCAGCGTCCTGTGACCACTGATGAAGGACTAGAGGATGACCAACACAAACTGCGCAGCAAGAGATGAGCTACATACAATGTGGACTGACAAGGTAGGAGTGTCTAATAGAGTGGACAGTGAGTGGACACAGTGCTTGAAAACTCCAGCAGCACTGCTGTGTCTGATCCACTCGTACCAGCACAACGCACACTAACATCAGTGTTACTGCAGTGCTGAGAATGATCCACCACCCAAATAGTACCTGCTCTATGAGGGTCCATGAGCTGATAAAATGGACAATGAGCGTAGAAACAAGGTGGTGGCCTGATCGGAGTATATTCTGTATTCTTTAGGGTTATTATAGTTATCTAAACAAAAAACTAAGTGGTAACTAAGTTAAGTTACACCAAAACTAGCAGTGAAAAATGAAAAAACGAAAACTAAATCAAAACTATAATGTTTACTGCAAAACTAAAACGAAATAGAATATTGTTTTTTTTCAGTGTGTGAATGAGAGTTTGGAAGTTGGCACCTTTTGTCATCTATTCAAGCTAAATTCAGATTCTGTGTTGTTGTTGTTCTTTCCGAGCTGACTAGTCTAGATTAGCTACAACATCGTCCAGCTCAGTATCATAGTATTTTAAACTGTAAAGGCAATATTAGCCTGTTGCACTGTAGCATTTACATACTTTTACAAAGCCTGAGTTGTGCGCTACAGTTTGAATAGCATTTTTGCCAGTTTTCTTTGGCTACGTTCACATTACAAGCCTCGTTGCTCAAATCCGATTTTTGGCTCAAATCCGATCTCTCTGACACTATGGTTCACACTCGTTTAGGTAAGTGACTCAAATCTGTCATTAATGTGACGAACCGGCGTCCTGAAATGACCCTCATGAGCTCATCCTACTCAGTAACGTCACGTGAATGAATCACATGCATCATCAGCACAAACTAACGAGCAGAACGAGCTTCGCTGAGAAGATCATTAACTCTGATCAGCTCTCAGCTTCATTATTAGAGCTAGACGAAGGAGAAAAAGGAGAGATGAGCTGCTTTTCCACCGTTTACAGGCTTTAACTTCTGTTCGGCGCTGCTGCCATGGTAACGCTGAATGATGGTCACGCGCAGTGGAGAAAAATCACATGAATTCCGATCAGAGCGTCACATTAAGGTCACATGGCCACGAATCAGATGCGTATCTGATCTAGGACCACATATGAAAGTGGCTCAGGTCGGATTTGAAAAGATCAGATTTGTGTCCACACAGCCCTGAAAACATCAGATCTGAGTCACATTAGGGCAGAAAATCAGATTTGTGCCACTTCAGCCTGGTCATGTGAACGTAGCCTTTGAAACGTGTCCAACCCTGCAACGGTTAATATATATTTAAAAAAAAAAATCAGTGGTTGGCGCATGAACAAGTCATTTGTAATATGTTGTAGCAAATCTCACATCACATATCTCACCTGTGTCTTACACTACGCTGTTTACCATCACCTCAGGGTCTTTTAGTTCACATTTTGCTGTCATAGTTCCCAGTTATTTCATATTTTGAAATGTTTTTAGGCTATTTATCATATACAGTCGAGTGCAAAAGTTTGTATACTCCATAACATTACATATTTTGTGTAATTTAAAATAACACAATATCGCTGTTGTCGGAAAAAAAACTCATATCTCCAAAAAGGCAACTTTACAGGAGAAGGAAAAAACATACTTTACTTTTCATGTAAGTCAATGGAACCAGAATTTTTTCCAATGAATTTTGGTTCATTTCTTTTGGTCTATTCATCATGAAATTTACATACAGTGTAAAGTCATTTTCAAATAATATTAAAAACTGAAAAATGACAAAAATTGAGAGGTTTTGTTCCGACAGCAGTGATATGTATATTTTAATCCACATATAATAACATTTTGCTGTAAATTTAATTGCACAATATCTATTCATTTGCTAATTTAACATGTTGGGGAAAAACACAAATATACATTGTGCCACAACCTTTGCACAGACGAGACCAGAAGAAAATAAACAGAACATCAGCAAACAAACAGTGTTTGTGAATTAAACGTGCACAGGTGTGTTCTTTGTAAAGGACGTGTAACTTATAATCACATAACACAAATTTCTGCATACAGTTGTGTAAGTTAAACATAGCTGATCATTTTAATGATGGTTTGTTCAGTTTAGATCATATATCTTTCAGAATAGATCATAAATAAATGGGTTTGGTTTGCTTATTAAGAAATCTTTTCAGTTACAACAAATTGTCCACAGTTTATTACATGTAACACGTTTGTAAACATTGTGTTTAAAAGATGCTCTAACTATGATTATGTCAGTTTGATGTAGATGCATGTGCTCAGTGCTTATTCATTCTGTTCTCACCATCATCAGTTTCTACTGCTGTTTCTTACACAGCTACTACTAGCATGCCTTTAACCACAACCACTGGTAAGCAGACGTTTTTAGGTCATCCACCTATAATTCATCCTGTAATCTTTCTAACAAGATGTAGTGACCACTCTAACCACTCACACGCTGTCCCCTATTCCATCACTAGTTCAGACTACATCATCCTCTGCTACAACTATTACACCAACCACCACCAGCACAACAACTGGTAAGCTTTCTGAACTAGCAGATTTAACCAATTTCAGTCGGAAGCTGAAGTATTTCTTTAAATTGTTGATATTCTCCCACTATTAGGACTTGCCTGTCCAATTTTGAGTTCATTACCAGCCTGTTTTGCCATGAAAGAGCTAAACAGGAGACACAGTATGTTGGGTCCCCCTTGTGGTACAGTAGTGTTTTTTGCTTTATTGCCGAGAGGTTGTTGGTTCGAATCCCAGTGACGTCATAACCAAAAAAGTCGAAAATAGGCCTGTCGCAATTATTACATAATCACCTGATCGCAATTATTTGATCTTATTGTAATTATTTGGGCTGACCACAGTTATTTTCCACAAATTTTAGCTCATATATTTGTCACAACAAACAAATTGTGAAGTTCAGTGTTTTAATTAGTTGGTTTGCGGCAAATAGATGTAAATAAAAGAAAGTAGAAAGCGCATTTATTGAGACACGTTATGGGTCCTATGAAAACAAGAAAACTTCGGACAGGTGTTATAACACCTGTAGAGGGCAGCAGTGAGTAACATTTGTTTATATGAGCTCGAGCTGTGCCTCTGGTCTTTTGGGAGTTTACATTTAAGAAAAAAGGCAAATATTAAGTAATCAAAAGCTCAAATTTCCTCATTATGACAGTTGGCATAGTCTGTGACATCACCTATACTGATGAAACCACAGGTCATTATGATTAGCCAATATTATCGGCCTGTTTGACAGTCTTTAACAGTTGTGAGCTTATTTGAAATAGATTTACAGAAACCGGCAAAGTTACCTCAGAGAATGTTTAGTTGTTTTGCTTTTGCTACCAGTTAACTTTGACTGGCGTAGTGTACTTTCACCCATCTGCTGTCTGTAACTAGAACTTTCACCGACTACCACTGCCACAGTTACTGTACCGCTAACGGGTGAATAGCTTCCTAAAACCAGTCTACATAATCCCACATTGCTTCTAACTTTAATATTAAATATTAAAACTGAAATAAATTGATATGTCACTGCTGTCGGAAGAAAACCTCGTATCTCCATTTTTGTTGTTTGTCTGTTTTTGACATAATTTGAAAATATCTGTTGGCTTTTACGTTCTGATTGAAATTCATGATGAATGGACTAAAAGAAACGGCCCAAAATGACTTGGAATAAAGTCTGGTCCCATTGACTTACATTAAAAGTAAAGTAGGTTTTTTCCTTCTCCTGTAAAGTTGTCGTTTTCGAGATACGAGGTTTTCTTCCGACAACAGCGATATGGAAGACTTCTGGGCCTGCGTGGCCAATCCACACGTTCTGCAGAACAGTTAGCTAAAACGGAAGACGGCAAAAATGAGCAGGGACGGGTAGTTAATAACATGTCAGTCCATATTTCATATCACATATCTCACCTGTGTGTTGCCCTACCCTGCGTGTGTGTGTGCATTTACCATCACCTCAAGATCTTTCCATGTTTGCTGTCATTGTCTCCAGTCACTCAGTCTTTTCCTTTATCTGCAGCTGCTGCTACTATTGCAACCAATGGTAAGCCAAATATGTTTTCTCATGTCACTGACATGCTTGACATGCTTGTGCTTACTTGGAGAGACTTGCGGAGAGAATGGGTGGCTATGCTAAGCTGAGCTAACTGGTGCTGAGCTTGGCTAAACTGTTTTCACTGGGTTTTCTGATTTTCTTTTGTCTTTTATTAATGGACTTTTATTCCTTTTGTTTCCACAAACGCCTCCAAGAATAGAGTATGAAAGCCTCATCAGGCCATCAGTAAGGCTGTACGGAATGAGTTATTAGTCAAATCAAAACACGAACGCAGTTTACTAAACAGTTACATGATCAGTTGTTTGATTGGAAGAATAATAAAAATAGCAAATAACTATGCAGAGAAAAAATGATGAATTATAAACAAGACAAGAGATGAAACATACAATTATTATTATTTTTTTTTTTAAGATTTGCATTTTAATCATATTTGTCTTTCCTTCCATTTAATTCTGTTTCTGTTTTTGGTTCGGACGTTTATTGGTTCTGTATTCTTGACCAAGTTCCACTGTAAATATAATCCACATTTTCTTTGGTTGTTTTCAGGTATAAAATATTTTCCTTTGCAACAGCAGTGACATTAGAAATGACTTAACTAGCAAGTAGCACTGGAGAAAACTGTGACATATTCAAAACTCTGGATCTAAAGATGTCGATTTCTAGATGTAAAGATGTAAAATTTTGTTTTAATTGTGTTTCTATTTATCTGCAGCTTTGTCTGTAAGTCTTGGGCAGTAACATAATTTGTTGTTTTGGGTTTGTAGTCCAGCACATTATGTTTAAACTGGGAGGCAGTTCTAGGAAATGCAGAGCATCAGCTTTAATTCAAAGGTATTTGAGTCTGTAGTAGGTTAACCACAGTCATGGTACGTCTTTTTATATATAGTCCTCGCATTTCGGGCCAAAAGGAATAAAAAACTGTAAATCAAAGTAAGTGAATACTTTGCACCCTATGACTTCCTGAAGTCTTCTCTGTTGATTTCTACTAGACTTGCTATGGAGCCATTGTCAGTATCTGAATTATGGTTAAAACTTTTTGGGGTACGTCATGTTTGTTTTTGGCACCTTGTGTTGGTATTAAATTGTATGTGAAATGTGATGTCTAGAATCAGCAGCAACAAAGTGTCCAAATACTTTTGATCCCCTAAATAAGAGGACTGTGGATAAAAAGACATTAGTATTCATACACTCGTATATTAGCAGACATACTATATGTGGTGGACTACAAAACCAGCGTTCCTTTGCCATATGGTCAGCTCATCTCTTTAGTTCTATATCACATCTATAATTAGTTCTTACTGCCATTATTTTATTCTGTCATTACTTTTTTCTGATTTTTTTCTTTGTTACTGTGGCATCTTTTCTAGTCTCTTCCATTAACCTGTCTTCCACTAACATAACGTTTTCTAGAATCTTTTATACTTATTTTACTCTGTTATTCCTTTCACTTTCCAGAGTTATTCAGATTTTTATTCTGTAGTGATATTCAGATCTTCAAGAAACTGATAATCCCATCACCCTTGGAACATTTACTGTGTCTTTAATGTTCTAGTAAACAAACAAAAAACATACCCATATATCGCAAAAGACAAAATCCACAAATATTTTAGCAGATTTAAGGGTTTAAATCTTTCCTTGAATGCCTGTGTTTTTCGTCATGTTTATGTTGTGATATCAAGTTTGCCAAAATGAAGAAAGTTCAGTAACATCCTGTTTTGACCTCTCTGTTCCGACTGACCTGTCCGCTGACTGGCACAGAGAAAGAAAGAGCTGTGTTTCTGTGGTCATTGCTGCGGCTGCCTCAGCGCTCAACAACCTTATCCACCACTCCTCTCGCTTCTCGGCCGCCAGTCGTTCCTGCTGGCCGGAGTTCCAAAACGTCTCTTGGCTTTATCTCCACCCCTCTCATTTGGCCTATAAGAAAGAAACCAGAGACTGCAATCACACGGGCCCAAAAACGCCCCACTGTACATCTGACTAAACCACCTCCCTTTCCAACGAAAAGTGTGACAAACGTGTCCCCTGAGCCAAAACCGACCAGTGCAGAGAATGCAAATTTGACAACTAGGAGGCCGACATATTCCCAAGTGCTGTGGTCGCACAACCAGACTGACGACCTTGAGACTTTCCCAGTGGCCTCACTTGGAAATCGGAAGAATAAGCCATTGAATAAGCCCCCATGGGTCCTGAGTGATGACAGCAAGAACAGCTCAGAGACACTCGATTACTCGTCTGGATTTGGCCCAGAAGCTTTTTTTTATGATATTGATTTAGACGACGATGTTTACAGCCTATTTGACTTTGATTCTACCTACTCTCTCGATGAAAGCCTGGCCACTGTCATTCCCCTTAACATATCCTTGTTAGAAATGGGAAGCATGCCTACTGCCAGCACCGGTGCCCCCAATGACCTGAGCAAAACTATAAGCAGGCAGGAACATTTGCACAATCAGACAGAGTCTAGATTACCATTGACTATGTTGGCACAGATCCCTAATCAGGCTCAGACACAGAGCAGCTGGATGCTTATACCCCCTTTAGTCCCAGCTTCAGGACCGAATGGAAAAACAGCAGAGCTGCCATCTTTCTCAGTACCAGCACTGTCACCTACCTATCTTGTGGATTCCGAACTATTGGGCACTGTGCACCAGGACCTCTCAGAAGCAACAGGTGCTGGGCATTCCGCTCCGGAGTTTGAGCAAAGTCAGAAAGGGTCCACCATGGTGACATCTCATCTGATAAAACCCACTCTGGTTGCACACTGGCAGATGGGAACTTTGGAGAACAGTTATGGCAGGACAATGACGACGGAAACTGTGCATAAGTTTACAGAGACCATTCCTGTATCCACTGTAGCTGCCTCCCCACGCGGCTATCTCCCTTCTCAGATGGTTCTATTCACAGAACTGCTGGCAGTAAGTCATTCTCCTTTGCAAAGCAGCAGTCCCCTCATAGCAGAAGCACATCCTACTCCTTTTCTCCGTCCCACTTTCACCACTGAAGCAGAGCTGCTTATGGATTCCGCTCACAGCAGTGCCACTCTTATTGAGGCGCTGAGGTTATACACCAGCACGGTGCTTGCCGCAGAGGTTCAAAGCGACTACATAATGACGGAGACCATCAGGCCCAGTCCGTTGTCCCTGTCGGCAGCCAATGATGTTTCTGTGGTTCTGACACCTGGCCCCGCTGAAAGCCTCTTCACTTCAGGTGCTAAAGACAATAGTGACCTGGTTTTACCCCCATCAAAGAATCAATTTATTCCCAACCAAAACCCACACACTTACGATTCAGGCCATTTGATTACCCCTAGCCTTGTCGTTCCGCACCTCGGCACTGAGGGTACGATTATGTCATCAGTGGCTGGCTGGTCCAAATTAGATTCACCTCAGGCTCAGGGGCCATCGTATGTAAACGGATTGCTAGAGACTCCATTCAGGGGCTCGAACAGGCAAAACGACGATAATTCTTCAGAGGCAGATCTAAGGGGCCTGTCACGTACGTCTCATATTTCTGTCAACAGCAGTTCTGAGTCACCACACACCTCGGCGGCTGCCCTGACAGACGAATGGGGCAGATCTCCATCCTCACCCCTTAATTCAAGCTCTCAAATGAGAGCAGAGAGGATAGATGGATTGCCCGTGTTCACCTTGCCCTCTCCCAGCTCCGTGCCAGTTCTGGCAGCCTGGCTGGGTGTCTCAAAGGCCACTGAGACTGGGAGCTTTGCAGGAGAGGAGTTAGTACCCTTGTCTACCTTTAGTGTTTCCATAGCCTCAGTACCATCACCATCCCTCTCCTACTCTGGCTTTCTAGACTCTCAGAGAGGGCCATCTGTGTCTCAGCATGCAAAGGAGAGTCCATCTTATGTCAGTGACTCTAAAGGGCATTCGGAGACACAGCAGCTGCCAAGCGTGATAAGAAATGAATCTGTGTTCACCCTTGAGACTCAGCAAGCGTTTGAGGGATCCACCACCCTCAATAGAATACACACTCTCCCTAGCGTATTAGACAACACCTACAGTCATTCAGGCACCCATGAACCCAGGAACACTAGTGCACCACACATGCTGACTCACAAAATCCCTGACACACCTGCTCACATGGACACTATCAGGCCAACAGGCACTTTCTCTCATAGTAGAACATATGTCCCCATTAGTTTACATGCTACACTATCAAATACTTCCCCTGACAGAGCAATGGCTCTCCATCCTCATGTGGAGGCGAGCTCATTGATCTCCAATCCCACCCCCCTTTTGGCAGCAACCTTCACTGTAAGTGTAGCACATTTACCAGGCACAGGATATGAGCCTATGGCATATGTCACTCAATCAACCAGTGGACTTCATCATGCCTCCACCTTCCCCAGCAAACAGTCATGGCCTTCAGGTTTAGAAGCAAGTACACAAACCTCTGCTCCACCCTTTCACTCGGTGGATACTAACATTCCAAGCAACCTTCAGGATACTAAATATGTCCAGTCCCCAACAACAGAGCAGCCATTTCGGCCCAAGAATGAATCAGCAAAGCCCTCCAGCCAGAGCCACAATGTACTTGTTGTTCGCCCCGCCACCACAGATAGAGAAACGCATCCGTCTCCCCCGGCCATTGACGACCAGTCCTTTGTCCCCTCAAATGGCACGCTCCCTCTCGCCACTCCGCCTAAGGAAGCCATTGCAGGCTTTGAGACTGTGCCCACTGGCGCCACCCGTGGGACCACCACAGACTCCCCTGAACTCACTCCATGCCCATGTAAAGCTCGCTTTCATATTACATGTCTGTGTGGACTTTCAACCGGGAACAGTATGTTTTCCAATAACAAAGTAGACTTTAGAGAGAAAGATATTTCCTTTCCTAGTTAAATCTTTGCTTGGTGTGCTAGCAATCCCAGAATGCTAAAGGGAAGAAATAATCACCGTGGTGTCTCATAGTCCAGATTTTAGGAGGGTGTTGACTTGATTCCTTGTGATTCGGTAGGGGAGAAGATATTAACATTAGTTTTTGCGCAATCAATCAATCAATGATGTCTAGTGCTTCTCAGACATGCTGCTATACTTTCACACAAGTAGGGTGCAGAGCCTCCGTGTAAATTTTTGTAAAAGATTTTTTTTTTAAATTTCTCTTTCTTAGGAGACTGCTTGGGTGTTCTTATCGCAACACCTCGTTGTTACTTGATTTGGAAATTGTTTTCAGAAGTACTCAAGAAGGATCGTTTGGGTTCTAGAGAGAAATTACTCAAAAGGATCTGTTTGAGAATCACATTCAGATGAATGCACTTTCTATGCTGTAGTCTCCTAAGAAGGTCTTGGCATGGGGTAGAGATGCATTGTGCTGTAGTCCTGCACTAACAATATAAGATACACGAGAGCCATCTTGTGATGGCTGTGGGGCATAGCAGTAGACTGTTTAAAAATAAGTGCATCCCAAGGAAACATAAAAACCTCTAATTGGCTTCTGCTAAATCTCTGTAATTGTATTGAATTAGTGAGCATGATCTCCAACATAAAGAACCAAAACAGAGTGGAATAAAAAGAGTTTTTATTATAGATTTTTCAAAGCTGTCATATCACGCTGGTCCACCTCACTCAGTATTTTTCCCAGTACTGCACTGCTGCTATGCCACACAGAAGAAAGTGTTAAACTGCATATTACCCTTATCACAGACTAACAACTAAGCAAATCCTTATCCTTATATATCCTTTGAATTGCAGAGGATACTTTCTACAGCATTACCCTAACGAGTCAACGAGAGATCACAGAGGAGACCATGGCAAACTGGGTACGACTGTATATGTATTCTGTGATCTTATTCAATACAAAACAATACATCACTGCTTATTACTGAAGTGCACTATACTATATGTCCAAATGTTTGTAGGCTCCTAGTCATCTATCTTTTTCCTGAAATCAAGAGTATTAACAAGGAGTTTGCTGCAGTAATAGCCTCCACCTATCTGGGGAGGCTTTACACGAGATGTTGGAACATTGATGTGCGAGTTTGTTTGCATTCAGGTACTGATGTTGGATGATTAGTTCTAGATCACAAACAGCTCATCCCAAGAATATTGGACAGAACTGCTCCACAACCCAATATTGGGGGGCTTTTTGCATGGTGACCCCAGGCTCATGCGCAGCTACTTTAGAGGCTCCCCAACCCTCCTTCCCAACCCTCCTTCTCATTCTATTGACGATGGTTTTCTGTAGAGATTGTGTGGGCAATTAATTAGAATGGGCTGCCTGGATACCTTTGGACATATAGTGTATGTACTTAGCAGATGGAGCCACATTTACTTGCATGTAGATTCTACACATTACATTTTTTACAACGTGGTATAACCAGTTACACTACATAGATCAGTTTGATTGTTGCTTAGTAATGCATTACATGAACAATGTGTACATGCAGTATTCATGGCATATTCAACAACAGTACAGTAACACTCAACTACAGTTACATAACCATTTTGAAACATCAGAGTCAAGCTTTATTGGCCAGGTTTGCTTACATGTACAAGGAATTTGGTGTTGGTTACAGGAGCTCACAGTGCACAGAATCAGACGAACATTTGTGCCAGTTATATGTAATATATGAAAGTGCTGAGTGCAGTAGTAGTTAAAGAATGTGTAGAGGCAAAAAAGGGAACAGTGAGGTAACGGTCAGATAAAAGGGGGTAATAAGGCAGGAAAATGCTGGTCTGAGACGTTAGTTTCGAGGATGGAAGGTTGAGTGTTACTGTATACTATATATACTATAGGCCAATATATATAAGAAGTGCAGTTGGAATATTGTTTATGTGTAATATTTGAAACATTCACTAATAAGTAATGAATATATAATAAATTGAAAGCACGCTCAGTCATGTGTAGTGTATGATCAGTAAAATACACACACATCTGAAGCCCATGATTACCCCGAAAACATCCACATTGCATTCGTCAATGATCCCTTAATAACATTCAGCTCCTGATGTGCCATAATATCATTTTACTATAACGTTACTACAGTTTATGAATGCTACAGCAATACTTCCTGCACTGTCCGATATTGTAATTGCATAAATTACATCAGTAAGCGAATGCTAAATGTCATAGGCACGTTAATGATAGTGGATGTCTATTGGATCTCTGTTGAGTACCTGTGCATAGTATCATGTGCTGTTTATTCCCCGAACAGATTTTAATTTACCCACGAACATTTGATGTATACACTAAGCATCATTACATACATTTCCAATTCACTACATTATATGTTTGTTACTCATTAGTGAATGTTTTAGAATTATTATATAATTGTAATGGAGTGTTATTGTACTGTTAATGAATGTGCCATGAGTACTTTGTGTATATGTAGTTTATATAAAGTGTTACCCATTATTTTCTTCCTCTTGTGCACAAAATGGTAAACACACTGCTGCATTGCTGGCTATGAATCCTCACTATCCACTTTAGCAATTTTTAGTCAAACTTTTATTCATATTTTTGATTAATTTCTTTATTTTTCTACAGTTCAACCAGACATTTCAAGGCTGGAACTACACTGTTAAAGTATATAATATTAGGTAAGAAATATTCATGTCATTGCGTATAACCAGCTAGTCATATTGTTCCCCTATAACTTATAAGTCTATGTTTTCTTACCAGCATTCAACCTGGCACTGATGCCTCCAGCAATAGGTACCCCAGTATGATTGTCTATCTAGTGTAGGCTAGTTTTCTCTCAGTTTCATTTAGATACTAATAGCAAGCACTTTATGCACTATTAATACATTTTAATACCATATAGTAGAGGAACCTGAAACCTGCCTGTGCTGTTTTTCCAGATACACTTGTAAAGCCCTGCTGTTGTATAGAAACACTACAGGGAAAGATCTGACGAGCACTGAGATTGAGACCAAGCTAAACAGCTCTTCTGCGTCTGGTGACCTGAGGTTGGAAAATGTAGTCGTAAATGTCATTGGTATGTAATAATGTTTCTACTTATCTTTTCTGTTATGTAGAAGAAACCCTCTAATATATATATATATATATATATTATACATCGCTGCTGTCAGAATAAAACCTTGTATCTCCATTTGTCATTTTTCGTTTTTTTACATAATTTGAAAAAGCCTGTTACCCTTTACATTGTGTGTAAATTTGATGATAAATGGGCTAAACGAAATGGACCGAAATGACCGATACATATAAAAAAAAATATATATACATACATCATCTAAACCGCTTATCCTTCTGGGTCGCGGTGGGGTGCTGGAACCTATCCCAGCTGTCATTGGGCGGAAGGCAGGATACACCCTGGACAGGTCGCCAGTCCATCGCAGGGCAGACAGACAGACATACACAGTCACACCTAGGGGCAATTTTAGCATGTCCAATCAGCCTGACTGCATGTCTTTGGACTGTGGGAGGAAACTGGAGTACCCGGAGGAAACCCACACAGACACGGGGAGAACAGGCAAACTCCACACAGAGATGACCCCGGTCACCCGGCCGGGAATCGAACCCAGGCCATTCTTGTTGTGAGGCAGCAGCGCTACCCAGTGCGCCACCGTGCCGCCCAAAATAAATAAATAAATAAATAAAAAAATAAATAAATAAAATAAAATAATAAAAGTAATATTAGATCACTTCATTTAAATAAAATAGTTAAATATAATTTTCTGCTTTTCATAAACATTCATACATTCTAAAGGGATGAGTTCTGTTTTAAAATCATTAGTCTAAACCACACAGCTAAAAAATGCTCTTTCGTCACCACAGTTATGTCTCTGCATTTTGCTTTGCCGCAGCGTAAAGGGACAGTATTTTAGGTCAATAAATAAAACTGTGCTTTTGGAACTTAATTATTTGTCCTTTTACAACCCCATCTCCAAAAAAGTTGGGACACTTTGTAAAGTGCAAATAAAGCAGAATGCAGTGATGTGATAATGAGAAACCCCAGGTCTACATGAGTCAGGCGGTAATCAGATTTCTGCTTTACAACCAGCCAATAAACTCGCAGAGGAAGAAGCCATGACATAAACAAAACTCAAACATCACAGTGCGGCTTTTTTATAAAAACTTCTAGCCACTTTACCTGAAAACATGAGCATTCATCGTCTAGAAGATGAAGAATATTTAAATCCTTCATTTTGTCAAGCATGTAGTTGGTTTAGCTTTGCTCCAGAGCTGTTTTGCTGCCATCTTGCACATATTTGCTAAACCCTACTTGCTTATTTCTGGTACTGCGTTCTGTTTTCGCAAAAAAATAGAGTTTACATGCGCTGAGAAATCCAATTGCTGAGCTAAAATCCAGCCTCTTTATTGGATTTATTAATCAGATTTCTATACTTTGCTCTTATCCAAGAAGCTGGAGTATGCTGTAAACTCACTCAGTGGTTTAGGAGATAGGTGTATTATGTCTGAAAGAGCATTGTGCAAAAGAAGTAATAATGCTTTTATTTTTAATTTAAAAAAAATAGCTCTAAAATGTTAACCCTTGTCTGGTGTTGGTGTGTTTGTTACTCAGTGGTCTGGTGACCCACCACATTATTGTTTATTTAAATCAATACAGCCATAACAATTTATGTAAAAATACCAGATGTTTAAAATATCACAAGTGTCCAGCGTAGGGCTCTCCTTTAGCAGCTGTAGCCAGTCAGCAGCCTGTCCATGTTGTCCACCCTCACACGCACACACACACACACGCACACACACACACACGCACACACACACACACACACACACACACTAACAGCAGGCCATGTAGGAGGAGAACAGAGTGAAGGACACAGAACCTCCACACTTTTACTCCCCGTGGGTTCAGCCCAACACCACATGTGTAATATAAATGTGTGGGGGGTGAACAGAGTGAAGACACTGAAAATGGGTTATTTTATATGTTCTTCACAGAAAATGAGCAAAGACCAAGAATCTGAGGCTGAAATAATAATAAATCACATCATTTCTTACTTTGGTAAACATTGAAAACGGGTCCCACAGACCTGAACACCACACAAGGGTTAAATATTTAAAGTTAATTATTAACATTAACTGAGGTCCCAATGGACTGATTGATCTATTATGGAAATACTCATTAGTTGCAGCCCTGGATGTGAGTAATTTGCACATAGTTACCCTGTGAAGAAACGCTTTATTGCAAATGTCTTACCCACTTGATTTTTCTGTGAAGCTGCTTTGTGGAAACACCTGTTATAAGAAGCGCTGTATAAATAAACTTTGACTTGACTTGACTTATCTAATGTGGCTTATTCTGCAGAAAACTGTCCGGAGGAGGAGACGCTCCATTATAAATGGTTAGAGACGAGACCATTAGACACCAAGAACATCTCCTGCTTCCCCTACAAGGAGCAGAATGCAAGTAGGACATGGTGAGTAGACAGTGGACCCATCTATGTCAGATATCCTTACAAAGACATAAGGATATGAAAAGTAAATGATACTGTTGTTACCCCATCTATCTCATTACACATCAGTAGACCCAGTAAACATTAATTACTAATGAAAGTGTCTTTTCTTCTCTCAGCATCATCAGCCCTGATAATTATACATCATTGTGGGGCCAACCAGACTTCAGTAACTGCAAAGATATAGAAGAAATTGAAGTTTCATCAGGTAGGCAGTCTTCAAGTGAATAAACTGACGAATGTTTTTAATAATGTATTAAAATTGAAATTCTGAAATCGGAAATAAGTCCTACATACTGTGTAGGTCACCTCAGCTTAATGACCTTATTTGGAAACAGGGAACGCTGCAGAGGTGGCTGTCCATCTTGCTGACATCACAAACAACGAGCTGTCCAACGCGGAGGTTTCAAAAGTTGTTACTGTGGTGAAGAAGCTGGTGAATGTGGCTCGAATCAATGCCACCCTGGCCACCACTGTGGTCACCATCATCTCCAACGTGATGATAACCTCCGACTCTGCACAGGTGGCTGCCTCAGGAACGTAGGTGCATTTTCTGGCTGTCAGTGTAGGTTTACGCTGTAGTTAGGGTTGGATATTGTTTGGAAACATTTTAACATGGATACCGATACGATACCTTGAATACCTAGAGAAGAGCTGAATATGATACTGATACCAAACACTTTTGTGATATCTTTTTTTTAGTGACCAATAAGCAGTATGTGATCATTGTGGTCTGCAACTACATATCCAAAGCAACGTATCAGAACAGGGAAACATGCTTTCTGGGCTTTAGGAATAACACAGCTTGTAATAATGCAGAATGACTCAACGGTAACGGTCACTGCTCAAAAAGAAAAGATGCACGACGTGTGCAAATTTGTCAAAAACTTCTCTCAAAGTCCACCAACCCATGAATGAATTGAAGTGATAGCAGAGCGAGGGCAGGCAAGGAAAGCAAGAGAGAGTTTTTAGCTACACTCACAGTTAGCCATGTTTTTCTCTTGAACCTTTCTGGACTGAAGGAGCAGTTTTTGTCCTTTCCAGACTGAATGATGGTGAAATCCTCTGGCTGGTGTGTCTCAAACATTTAATCTCTAATTTCCGATCTAATGGCAGGACCCAATTTTTATCACATTTTTGACTCGACTCTTTATATTGTACTGCTATTATAAGTGGCTACCATAACTGATGAGGAACAGTGGCTAGCTGCGTAGCGACGCCCTTTACCATAAACAGCGTTATTAAACGTCTGGATGTATGTAACTGTATGAATTTTTTTATTGGCTGCTCTCAGCATGGGGCCAACGTGATTGGGCCCCACAGCTGGTTATTGAAGGCGCGTTGAATGCAGATTGTTTTTAACTGCTCACTTGGTTAGACGAGCGCTGACAGCTCCACATTTACCAAACCAAGACTGCTAGGAGAAACAGGTCAGCTACTCACATTTACACAACAGGTACAGGAAGATATTTGGAACGTATCGGACAGCCTGACCACTGTCATTTGTAATAAACAGTGGAAAATATATATATATATATATATATATATATATATGTATATATATATATATATATATATATATATATATATATATATATATATAACAAGAAAAAATATATATGTTAGTTGTTGTACTGAATTATTGATCATGTCATGCACTGCTCCACAGTGACATCTGGTGGGACCAGGCCCCACTGGCCCCTAATGTAGTGATGGCACTGCTAGTTAAAAAAAAAAGAAAAGGTACAAGTGAGAAAAATGATCTCAGATCTCCTGTGTAGAGGTATAGTGTTAATGATTATCGCTGAGGTAATGTTAACCTGACACACTTTTAATATGTGTGTATAGTTCACTCCAGCAGTGGATGACTGCCAGCTGGCTAGCTAGTAAATGTTAATACTGATTTTTTAGTTTTAGTGCTAGCTGAATAAACATGCTCACCAAGCATCGATAAACTTTCCTTTGCCGTGCAGTGTGAGAGGGGAAACGATGCCCGATTAACTGCCCAAACGAGCTCCGATTAAGCAGTCGGACAATCGGATGGATTTCTGACATAAATTTTGGTGGCATGTCTCTCAGTCTGAGCCGCCTCACAAACCCATTTCTCAAAGTCGCACCCAAAACCACACACGGTCAGAACCACCGCTCTGACACGGAGGCCAAAAAGCCCACATTTGCGGCACCAGCGTCCGTGTATGACGACTCTGCTCCGTTTGACTGAGTTGAATTGTGAGGTATAAATAAATTCAGTGTTTTATTGTCTTTGTAGAGCTGTCGGTCTGTAGACCACCTGCTCTTCAGCTTCAGTGCACAGTGTGGCACAAGTTAGCAAAGCTGTTGTAGCGGTTTGTCAATGGCTGAATTTGGCTTCTACACCAAAATAGTGTCCAGTTAGTCCAGTATGGAGCTGTGCACACATGGCTGAATCTCAGAAGGCTATTTATGAGCCATGTAATGCACTGCATGGATGCAGGAGCCACTATTTTAATATTTTAGGGAGCAGGGAGCCGTTTGAGATTCAGCCAGTGTTTTTACTCGGAACTCAGAGGTGCAGCATGTTGTTTTGAATGAATCAGCTTTATTGGAAATTGTCTGTAGACTGAGCTGACTGTAGGGGCTGTGTTTCACCTGCAGTGTGAGCACCCATATCGCAAAATGTCAGTCGGACCGAGCGTTTTCATTCAGCGTGAGCACATAAATCGCAGGCTTTGGCTGAACACGAGGAGCAATTCAAACGTACATTGTGAATCACCAAAGAACAAGATTTCTAAAATGGCACAGTGTCTGCCTGTCTTCGTGAAAAAGTCAGAGAGCTTTCCGGTAAGCTCTTATCTGCAAGTACGTCCTCACTGAAAACATTTGTGTCTGTCTTTGATTGTGCTGTAAGTCATCCAAGTTTTCCAATCTCCAGCGGTCACAGTGTAGCTGCTCTTCGGGCATTTTTCTCACTGGAGATTCTGTTTCTAATCAAACGTTTCGTCAGATACTTGACTTGGCAACTACTGGCTCATTTAGTGCACAAAGAGCCGTTCTCATCTAACATTAACTTAGTTTTACGAAATACCTCCAGAACCTGGAACGTCTGAGTTTTTTCTCTTTTTTTATTCATATTCTTTTTTTAAATAATTCTTATAATCCTTTATGATGTCATTTTCGTCCAAAGGATTTTGGTCAGTGCCTTCTGGGTACCCTAGTTGTAGATTATCAGGTTTGATCAGGTTCAAACCTTAGAAAACACAGTAAACAAAGAAGCTGTATAGCAGTGATTCTCAACCTGGGGATAATTAATCATGAGATGGTCATCAATAATAAAGCTCATTCAAATGCTCATATTTTGGAACATATTTGCAAGAGAGATTTTTTTCGTGAAATATCCAATCTCTCTGCCACATCGCTCTAAAAACGATATGTTGTGGCCTCTTGCTCTGCTGCTCTGTATAAAAGTAGGGGATGCTGTTTTGTTGAAACGCCATTATCAGTTCAGTTTAATGCTGTGCAAGATCAAACTCGGTAGCCTGCACACTGTTTGATTTTAATTTTCAAAAAAAGAGTTTGTGTTATTGTCAGAGGGGGGTAAGAAGGGCCCACAGTGATGCTGAGCTCTAACAAAAAGAATTCTCCATCTGGTCTGGTTGAAGGCAGTGTGCAGCTGCACTTAGCCAAGCAGCTAATAATATGCAATATCATTAGTAATATGAATGTCCTGGTTAGGTGTAATAAAATGAATTGAAATGGAGCTTTGTGTATGGTACTGTGTTTTCTATAAAAGTAGGACGATGCTGTCTGTACTGTTAAATGCACTGTCATGGTTTCTGAGCGAGCCTAAGCACATGTTTGGTAAGGGTTTACTTTAAGGGTTTTTTATTGATTTGTTGTAGTGTAGCAATGAAAAATAATGTTTTAACTTTCTTAGAACAGTAATTTATGAATTCTAAACTTTGATGTTTTGTACGTATCAAAATAAGTGAAACGACAGCATTGAGATATCGAGTAATTGAAGCTGAAAAGTATATTAAAAGTATGAAATAGACTCTTTTTGTCTTGGCATTGCATGATTAATAAGCTGTGTGCTCCAAAATTATGCCTTTTCATTCAGTGCTCTGAAAACCATGGATGAACTGGTGCAGAAGATTGAGTTTGAGGGCCCGTCTCTGAGCATCACCTCCAAGAACCTGGCAGTGGGCATCTCAGCTCTTAACATCAGTAATTTCAATGGAACCAGCTTCAGCGCCTTTATTCCTCCCAATGGAACAGACCCGCAGGTACCTCTCTTCATGTCTCGTAGCAGAAGAATCAGGGCGCTTTCATAAAGGCTGCTTTAGACTACTTTGATGTCATTTCATGCCTTAAAATCTTATGACCACTGAAAGTTTTTGAAATAAGCCTATAAATGTTTATATAGGTGTATGTCATTTGCTATGAGAGGCTTATGTAGGTGTCATGTAGCTTCATGAACATAACCTACAGCAAGGTGCTGCCCACTGACTGTTTACAGGCGTTTAATAATTGGTCTAAATCTTTTGTATAAGTCAGTTATACATAATATCATTCGGTGTTGTCGAAGGACTGGTGATACCCATGAAATATTCAGAAAAGTGCATAGAGACACAATAAATTATGATAACAGTGACATATTATCATATTGTCCACCCCTAATATCTATGTGTTCATGTCTTGTGTACGCCAAAAAAGTGATGCATTGTATTTACTTGTTTCAAAGTGTACATCATTTCTTACAAACTCCTCAGACCAAAAAATTCGGTAACACTTTCTATGAATGTCACCTTTGTAAGCGTCTATAAACACATTTATAACACGTTATAATGCCTTCATACGGCATTATAAACATGATTATAAACATTTATAAAAATGAATTACACTTTATAGCCATGTTTATTATACATTATGAATTGTTAATATAATGCATTATAAGTAGTGTTGATAACATGTTATACTGTCAGTGCCAAAGAAGTCAGTCCCAGCTTGGAGAGCGTAAAGTAAAGACAAATACCAAGCTAACGGTGGTGAACATTACCTTTCCCACATTGGGTAAAACACTGATGCAGCTCTAGTTTAAACTCTGACATTTGAAGCCTGTAATGTGCTTTACTGTGAATGTTTTAGTGTTTCAGTAAATCCTTCAGTAAATACTTCAACTTGAAGCCTCACTCTGAACACTGGAGGAGGCTTTAGTACAGTACGCTTCACTTTACTTAGAGTGGACAAATACCACTTATGAGCTCTTATAATTTGTTATGATCAGTACTTATAATGTATTATGTTAACAATTCATAATGCATAATAAGCATGGCTATAACGTGTAATGCATATTTATAAATATTTATAGCCATGTTTATAATGCCTTATGAATGCATTAGAACATGTTATGAACGTGTTTATAGACGCTTACAAAGGTGACATTCATAGAAAGTGTTACCAAAATTTCAGTACACCGTTTCTTCTTTAATACTTGGTTAAGCATCCCCTTGCCAGGTCAAGTCAAGAGGCTTTTATTGTCATTCCATCTAAGTACACAGTGGAGTGAAATTACGTTCCTCCAGGACCAACATGGTGCAACATGGAACAAAATAGACAGTATAAAGTGCAAACGTGCAGACGTGAGTGTGAAAACATTAAACTAGAAACAATACAATACATATGATAATTAAAACAGACATTAGACACAATAAACAGACAGGACAGTGCAGCACCGACACAGCACTCATTTCTGAGCATGAGGTAGGGTTGTGGAATAAGGTGCAGAGATATTTAACATGCTGTGATCTGTGAGTTACGCAGTCATAACATACGTGAGCTCAGCAGTTACTGAGGTAGGATATACACAGTACTTGAGTAGAACACAGTGTTAGCAGCAATGTTCCAGTGCAAGTAGAGCATCAAAAGAGGTGTGTGTGTGTGTGTGTGTGTGTGTGTGTGTGTGTGTGTGTGAGGGGGTTTTCAGTTCAGTCCTTGTGAGTTTATAAACCTGATTGCCTTTCTGACAGTTGGATTATATGAGTCTCTTGAGATCCTGCCAGTTTTACCCCACCTGTGCTTCATGTAGAACTCAACATTGACATTCCCACGTTTCAGGGTGACAACTGAAGGGTGTCTGTGACTTGTTCAACAGACATAATGCAACACAGTCTGACTGATCAGCAAAATCACCTGACCTCAATCCCAGTTCTCAATTTGGAAAAGCAGGTGAAACATGGAATAGTCACACATGAGCACATGAAGCTGAAATGTGCACCCAGTTTGTGAAAGAGTGGACTAAAATGGACAGGAACTATCACAAGTGTCTGGTGTCACAGGGTTGCTGCTGTTATTAAGGTGAGGGGAGGCAAAACCAAGTATTAGAGAAGAAATCATGCAGCTAATGTTTTTAGCTTGGGTTACATCAATATTATTGCCAAAGTAAGTATGCAGTTCTGATTAGGGTTTGGTATCGAAATTCATTGGTATTGATAGAAAAAGAAATGGTATTAATAAAAAAAGGTAATTATATTCAGCCCAAAAGTAATACAATGTTGTACACATTTGAATCAAGTCTTCACTGTTACGCCAAACCTTGAATCTCCGTTTTTGTCGTTTTTCAATTTGTCTAATTTAAAAATGTTGCTTTCTGTTATTGCATTGTGTTTCACGAAGAACAAACCAATAGAAATGATCCAGAATTAGTTGGGAAAAAATTGTGTTACATTAACTTCCATTACAAGTTCAGAACATTTTTTTCCTTTTTTCTGAGAAGTTACCATTTTGGAGACAGAGGTTTTGTTCAGATCGTTGACCAAATCCGTTTAATTGATCGCTTTTTTCGGTGTATGTTGCTTCTTTACGCAGGCTTCCCAAGTAGAGGCTAGGGTCCTACCACCAAAAGATCTCTGGCTTTCTAAAGAGAGCTTTTACAGTGGGTCTCTAACAGTTAATCCGCAGTAAGGAGATGTGGCATGTTGTGCCATGTCTATTGGCCAGAACTTAAGCCAGTGGGTAAAGAGCCAAGGAACGTTTATGGGTGGAAAAAGTAACTTCACCCTGCCTCAAGGTGACTCGGAAGAAGAGAGAAAAAAAGTGAAAGGCCTGGTTTACTTCGCAAAGGAGAGAACACCTCGCTTACTTTGCACGTTCATTCTGAAATTTTACTTTCAGACAATTTTGTCTGATTTGTGTTACTCATGATTTTATACAGTGGGAGTGAGTAACTTCCGCATTATCTTAAAGGAGTGAGTAACTTCCACATTATCATAAAACACATAAACACATTAAAGAGCTGTCATCAGCTCTCCTTCATTCCTTTCCTCACATTCTTCCCTTTTTCTGCATCACCTCACAGGGTCTCAGGAGGCTCTTGACGTTTACACCACTTTCAAGCAAAAGGCCCATTAACCACTTCAGTCGTACATCATTCCGCTGCTCGTTTGTTGTACACATGTGCCTCTCGGGGTGCAAAGAAACATGCCTGAGCATTACGCTTACAAACTTCAGAGGAGCTGGGTTTTCTTTTTCCTCCCCTCTGGTCACTGAGTCACACCATCTGGTCCTACTGCTTGCTCAAGTCATAAAAACCTGCAGGCGTGACGATCTGCTGGAGATTAGTGACCTTACTGCACAGGTTAAAACTTCAAAAGAAAAAGATAACTGATTATACGCCTGAACCACAGAACCGTGTGGAAAATAACCACAGTACATCACTTTCTTTGCTCCTGTGTACATTTTAGAGTTAATGACCATCTCAGTTACTCGAAGAAAAAGTTATTATTATGATTATTATTATTTTTATTATTATTAGTAGTAGTAGTAGTAGTAATATTTGGCCTGTGCCCAGTGGTGTTTAATCGAGTTACCCTGGTAACAGCCCCCAGTGACAGTAAAAACAAATCTACCATCAGTTTTAAAAAAAGTTGTTTGTTTATTGATTTATTTCATGCAAACCATAGCAAAACACTAGTACACATAAACATAACTGAACTTTTAAACACTGAGTGATGTGATATCCTACGTTAGTAGGTGATGATACATTAATCTCATAGATTTGATTCGTCTAGAAGTGCAACTGCTGGGTCTGATCCACTCAGACCAGTGCAACACACACCAACACACCACCACCATGTCAGTTTTACTGCAGTGCTGAGAATGATCCACCACCCAAATAGTACCTGCTCTGTGAGGGTCCATGGGGGTCCTGAGCACTGAAGAACAGGGTAAAAGGGGGCTAACAAAGTATCAGAGAAACAGATGGACTACAGTCTGTAACTGTAGAACTACAAAGTGCACCTATATAGTAAGTGGAGCTGATAAAATGGACAATGAGCGTAGAAACAAGGAGGTGGTCATAATGTTATGCCTGATCGATGTATGTTCAGATGTACTACTACTACTACTAATAATAATAGAAGCAACACTTTTCCATCTGGTAATTTAGAGATGGACCTTAACAATGAATTGGATGTGGGAGCAAAGTCATAGTGCGCAAGTTGAAGCTTAATTTTTGTCAGACAAATTAACATAATGACGGAATTCAACCAGTGCAGCTCAACAGCTGCATTTTTAGCTCAATCTCGTTTATGTTAGGTACAATAAACGTGATATTAATGAAGAATATCACATCTGTTTACAAGCTTGGTTATGTTTACTTGTGGGAGCGCTGTGGTTTGCATGAAATAAATCGATAAATTAACTTTTTTTGTTTTTTAAACCAGCGGTTTTTACCGTCACTGGTGGCTGTTGCCATGGTAACTCTGTTAACAGTCACAGTCCTGATTTGTTTAATGCTTCTCTCTGTATTCTCTCTCCTTAGATTCATTTTGAGTCAGAGATCCAGAATCCTCTCGCCGCTGTCACACTGCCTGCCACGTTACTGAATAACCTGAGCACCGCCGACATTGAGACCATCTCCAGAATAAATTTCATGTTCTTTAGCAAAACAGGGCTCTTCCAGGTGAGTTTTGACCCAAAGAGTTGTTCTTCTCTTTCTTCTTCCTTGTATTTTTACACCTGCAGTTTTGGGAATCGAGTGTATCCAGGGTTATCATATGCTGAATAAAGTTTATTAGTTTCGTATTAAATCAGCTTACTTTGTTAAAATTCTGATGCATGTCTTTATCTACAGCGTTTTGGATCAATAATGGTACGGTAATATTACTCTATGACTGAGCACACTAACTCCCAGAGTCAGTCTTTTAAAGGGCTAACCCTCAGAAGTCGCAGTTATTGTTGATAACAAAAGCTTGTAATTTGGTGTTAATCGTTTCGTGCTCATAACTAATCACTGAAAGTTTTTACTTTTTACTTCCCGCACAAACAGAAAATTTTAAGATCACATTTGACCGACAGCCGATTTGGTCCGACTCTGAAGATGAGACGACACTAAATTCCCAAACTGTCATCACCACTGAGCAGCTTTTCAGTCGGCAGCTGTGACAGAAGAACAGCTGAACAACCTGGAATCAGCCAGAAATGAACCCAACACCATTCGCCAAACTAAACGGGCTGTAAGATGCTTTACAGACTGGCTGGAACAAAACAACATTAATACTGATCTGGAAAAAACTGACAAAACTGAGCTGAACTTGATATTGCAGCAGTTTTATGGCTCAGTCTGATTTGGTCAGACTCTGAAGATCAGACTACACGTTTGCCGAATGGTGTTGGGTTCATTTCTGGCTGATTCCAGGTTGTTTAGCTGTTGTTCTGTCACAGCTGCCGTCTGAAAAGCTGCTCAGTGGTGATGACAGTTTGGGAATTTAGTGTGAGGAGCTGGAGAACGAACTGCCGGCTGTGCAGCGAGTGGGCGGAGCTCGTTACTCTGACGTAGCAACAAGCTGCTCGTTAAGGAACTATAATTTGGTGAAGGAACTGCGAACATTAAAACATATTAAACGCCGCGTTCACGGCCCAGTTTATTAATTTATCACTTTATTTATTTAACTGTTGTATTAAAGCAATAGAACACTCGATGAGTGTGTTATCGCCAATAACATCACTGCTGTGATGATCTACGGTGACCAAATCACAGCTGTGATGCTATTTCACAATAACACACTCCCTCTCGGGTTCTACTGCTTAAGTGTAACAGGAAATGTAAACTTGACACTGGTGAAAAGTGATAAAGTGCTCAAATAATGAGAACATAGTAAATCTTGCACAGAAAAAATGGTCTGGTTATTTAAAATCAGTGCTGTTCTAGAGTGGAGAACGTTGTTTATTATTAATCAGTTCAGTCATCTGAGTGCATCCAAGTCCTGTTTAATATGTATTAATACCTAACAAAAGTGTGGTGCCCTCTTCACTTTTCTTGGAAAATATTCCTTATCTCACACATCTAAAGGCATCAAATGTACATGGTTTTCCATTTACCCCAAAATGCAGTCGGTCAGTGTGGTGTCAGAACTTTGCTTCTTTAGTTTAGAAATAAAGCTACGAGGCTAATGTTGCTAACAAACACTGGAAATCAAAATTTTGTGTTCCACTTTAGACAGTGCAGCAATTATATTGTAGCACCTCACACTGCATTTACACTCCCCCAGCACATCAGCACATCGCAACGTATCCCATTCATTCGAATGGATGATAATAAACTGAATTGACTGATGTTGACTGCAAGTGGTAATCAACCTTAATCCCAGTCTTAATCCAAGTTTAAACCTGTTAAAGAAAACATTCGAGTAACGATGCATACTTTGTTATTTTTCTGGTTATTCAAAAAAAATAAAAGCATTATTTACATAAATATTGACTTAGCAAGACTACATTTTAATTGGATTTTGCAGGGAACTCGCTCATAACCCCCACATAAGCAAGCCAGTAAAACTATACCATGCCTATGTAGTGACGTTTTACAGCACAGCCTTGCGCTCCATCCTCCCAGCATTTGAAGGTGGAATAGATCTGGAAATTGGAACATTATGCAGATGATAATGTAGGTCTAACTTCAGCTTAAATGTGCAACAGTCTGTCAATGCCATTTTATTTTTCTTTCTAAACTAGTCTGTGTAGCTCATAGATGCAATCTGAAGCAAATATATGAAGATTTTGGCATATATGTGTGGATGTGTGGTTGTAGTGACTATTGACGTGTTTGTTAGCACCGCTAGACTAGCAGTTCTAAACTAAAGACACAAAACCAAAAATGTCTGCATTGACTGCATTTGGAAAAAACACTGTAAATTACAGCCCCATTTCCAAAAAAGTTGGGACGCTGTGCAGAATGTAAATAAAAATAGAATGCAATGATATGCAAATCATGTAAACCATATTTTTAAAGGAAAATAATATAAAGACAACATATCAAATGTTGAAACTGAGAAATTTTATTGTTTTTTATATAACGATACAGTATAACAATATATATATATATTGTTATATTGTATCATTATAAATATATGCCCATTTTGAATTTGATGCCAACACATTCCAAAAAAGTTGGGACGGGGGCCTGTTTACCACTGTGTTTCATCACCTCTTCTTTAACAACACTCTGTAAGCGTTTGGGAACTGAGGAGACACTGCTGGAGTTAGAAAGTGAAATGTTTTCCTGTTCTTGTTTGATACAGGATTTCAGCTGATCATCAGTTCAGGGTCTCATTTGTCATATTTTTCATTTCATAATGTGCAAAATGTTATCAGTGGTGACCGGTCTGGACTGCAGGCAGGCCAGTTTAGCACCTGGACTATTTTAATACGGAGCAATGCTGCTGTAATACATGCAGAATGTGGTTTTACATTGTCTTGCTGAAATAATCAAGGCCTTCCCTGAAAAAGACGTTGTCTGGATGGCAGCATATGTGGCCAAAACATGTATATTATCGTTCAGCATTAATGGTGCCTTCACAGATGTGCACGTCACCCATGCCATGTGCACTAATGCCCCCCTATACCATCATGAATACTGGCTTTTGAACTGTGCACTGATAATAAGCTGAGTGGTCTTTAGCCTGGAGGACACAGTGTCCATGATTTCCAAAAAGAATTTCAAATGTTGATTCGTCAGACCACAGGACACTTTTCCACTTCACCTCAGTCCATTTTAAATGAGCTCGGGCCCAGAGAAGGTGGCAGCATTTTTGGATCCTGTTTATATTTGGTTTCTTTTTTGCATTTTAGAGTTTTAATCAGCATTTATTGATGCAGTGATGAACTGTTTTCACAGACAGTGGTTTTCAGAAGTGTTTCTGAGCCCATGCAGTGATTTCCACTACAGAATCATGTCTGTTTTTAATGCAGTGCTGCCTGAGGGCCCAAAGATCACAGCCAGCAAATACTGGTTTTTGGCCTTGACCCTTACATACAGAGATTTCTCCAGATTCTCTGAATCTTTTAATGTTATTATGTATCGTAGATGATGAAAAGCAAAAGTTCTTTGCTATTTTATGTTGAGTGGTGAACCCCTCCTCATCTTTACTTCTGAAAGACTCCGCCTCTCTGAGATGCTCTTTATACCCAATCATGTTACTGACCTGTTCAGTCAACCACCAGGTATTTTTTGTAGCATTGCACAACTTTACCAGCCTTTTGTTGCTCCTGTCCCAACCTCAAATTCAAAAATAGAGATATATTGTTTAAAAAAACAATAAAATTTCTCAGTTTCATCCTTTAATATGTTGTCTTTGTACTATTTTCAATTAAATACAGGGTTTAAATGATTTGCACATCATTGCGTTTTGTTTTTATTTATGTTTCACAGCGTCCCAACTTTTTTTGGAAATGGGGTTGTATTTTTTTTTGCCAAAGTATTCCATTAATGTGTGAACTTCCTTAACATCATAATCAGGGATGTCAGGCCAACAACATTGGAATTTGTCAACACACTGAAGAAGAGACTGGGTTCTGATTTCCTCCTATGCTTCATAGACGCATAACATCAGAGAACACAGTGTTACTGAGCTGTTTAGAACCATCAAAGAACCACAGATAAATGAATAAAGCTCTAAATGCTCTTAGTCAGTAAAACACTACTGAAGGGTGTTATCTAGGGTTAGGGTCAGTACAGCGCTGTACTGAGGTGAGTAGAAATGTTTTGCTAAATCCCTGATTGTGGTGTTTAACTTGGATTGCCTGATGTGCCACACTGTGCTGGTGGACATCCGTGGAAAAGCATGAATGTATGTGTTGTTTAATTGCCTCCTTTAGGACCAACAGAGCAATGGCCTGTCTTTGAACAGTTATGTGGTGGCCAGCAGTGTGGGCAACTTCACCATCAGCAATCTGAGAGATCCTGTCCAGATAGAGATCGCCCACCTGCAGTCCCTTCAGGTAGCAGTCCAACCACAGCACCGTCTCTCACTGTGCCTGTTTGGAAAGGATTCAAGAGGGAGATCAGCTTTTCTCCTCAGTCTTTCTCCTCAGCCTTTCTCCTCAGCTTTTCTCCTCAGCTTTTCTCCTCAGTCTTTCTCCTCAGCTTTTCTCATCAGCTTTTCTCCTCAGCTTTTCTCCTCAGCTCTTCTCCTCAGCCTTTCTCCTCAGCTTTTCTCCTCAGTCTTTCTCCTCAGTCTTTCTCCTCAGCTTTTCTCCTCAGTCTTTCTCCTCAGCTTTTCTCCTCAGCTCTTCTCCTCAGCCTTTCTCCTCAGTCTTTCTCCTCAGTCTTTCTCCTCAGCTTTTCTCCTCAGTCTTTCTCCTCAGCTTTTCTCCTCAGCTTTTCTCCTCAGTCTTTCTCCTCAGTCTTTCTCCTCAGCCTTTCTCCTCACCTTTCTCCTCAGCCTTTCTCCTCAGCTTTTCTCCTCAGTCTTTCTCCTCAGCCTTTCTCCTCAGCTTTTCTCCTCAGTCTTTCTGCTCAGCTTTCTCATCAGCTTTTCTCCTCAGCTTTTCTCCTCAGCTTTTCTCCTCAGTCTTTCTCCTCAGTCTTTCTCCTCAGCTTTTCTCCTCAGTCTTTCTCCTCAGCTTTTCTCCTCAGCTTTTCTCCTCAGTCTTTCTCCTCAGTCTTTCTCCTCAGCTTTTCTCCTCAGCCTTTCTCCTCAGCTTTTCTCCTCAGCTTTTCTCCTCAGTCTTTCTCCTCAGCTTTTCTCCTCAGCTTTTCTCCTCAGCTTTTCTCCTCAGCCTTTCTCCTCAGCTTTTCTCCTCAGATTTTCTCCTCAGTCTTTCTCCTCAGCTTTTCTCCTCAGCTTTTCTCCTCAGTCTTTCTCCTCAGCTTTTCTCCTCAGCTTTTCTCCTCAGTTTTTCTCCTCAGCCTTTCTCCTTAGCTTCTCTCCTCAGTCTTTCTCCTCAGTCTTTCTCTTTGGCCTCTCTCCACCGATTTCTCAAAATATCTGCATAATTCAATCGTTGCGATGTGAACAAAGTCATTCCGAATGTTTTGAGGTAAAATTCTAGATTGTACAGAATCTCACAGATTTTAAACAGTAATTTTGCGTTGTTGATTACTGATTTTTCTGATTTCTGTTTTCTGTAATGTGCTGCTTGTTTTTGTGGGAACAATTTCTTATGTGTTTCTGCCTGTCTTGGCCGGGACACTAAGACAAGAGGTTTTAATCTTAGCCAGATTTTTCCTTAAAGGTAATAATACTTCAATAAAATAAAAGTAACAATACTAATAAAAACACAATTAGCTGAAAAGCAGATAGTGATGCACTGTGTTTTAATAAGATGTTAGTATCTCACCAAGCTGACAGTGATTCCGCTGCTGAGCTCAGTTTTAAATATTGTACAGGAAACTGTATTAACCTCATATTGACCAGGGTATATTTTGGTTTGTCCGTCTGAATTTACAGGACCAAATCATAAGGCAAATTATTCAGTAACTGCGTGAAATAAATGTAAATTTTTATTTATTTTTTTAAAGCTCCCCTGAACATGTGTTTTATGATACACATATTGTTATATGCTTACAATTTACTGCTGAAAGCCAAAAATCTTAGACGCTCTTTGTATTTTTTTATAAAAATAATGTTTACAGAGCAGATCACTGAAGAGACGCCATCTGTTTATAGCTTATAGCCCAGATTTGTGGAAAAATGGGTCGACTTTCAGTAGAAAAAAAAATTGTGAGTTCAGCTTCTTTTAAGGGTTTAAAATTACATCACCCATCTATTTGACTGGAGAGAAGACAGTTACAGCCTCATACGACCCCCACCTTTAGAATGTAGCTTATGAAATATGAAAGTTATGAAGAATATGACGAAGTGCGTTTTGGAACCACCGGTGGTCTCAAGGAGTTGAAAAGGTTAAATTAAATTAGATTAAGTTAAAGTTTTTGGGTGTAACTTATAAACTACTTATTTTTACTTTATTAGTTTGAATTCAGTTTTACATGTTATAATACATGTTCAAATGTTTTCATGTGCCTGTTTTAACAGTTTAATTCAGCTCACATGCTTCATGTTGTCTGAAACAAGCAGTTCATTAGACTAAGGGGGCCTTTTAAAGGACGTTGTTACCATTTATAGCTATTTGGGTGGCTTTTCCTTATGTGAATGTGCCTGGCAGTGCACAAGCAGAGCAGTAGAGCATTTGTAGGATTTATCATTTGTAGCTGTGCATACACACCTTTCATAAAGGCCCTTGTGATTCTTACACATGGATTTTGTTCATGTTCTGTGAATATTTTGATGTCTGCTGTGAACTGAAACTTTTGTTGCAGCTATTACTTTTGATCTTAATAGAAATGTGTAGTGTACAATTAATCACTTTCTAAAAAACGTGCCAAACATTTTTCCTCTTCCTTTCTAAATCAAGGAAATACTTTCATTAAAACAAGTAGTAATTAATATAGATCTGTTTCTGTTTCAGGAGAATGCAAAGCCACAGTGTGTGTTTTGGGATTTCACCATGCAAAGTAAGTTTGACCTGATCTAAATGTAATTTCTAGGGCTGGTCCACCTGAATAATTTGAATACTTGAGTATTCATAGTTGGTTACGTCAGTAAGAAGACCACGTCGCCATGTTGGTAGGCAAGGTGTAACTTTGTGATATGTATTCAACAGATGGAAGTGGAGGCTGGAAGAGTGAGGGTTGTGTGGTCAGCTCTGAGTCCAGCAGCAACAGGACAGTCTGTCTGTGTAGCCACCTAACACACTTTGGCATTCTGATGGTGAGCTGTAAATCTGCTTGATCGTAGGTTTTCCAAACCACTGCACTGAAAATGCGATGCGATAAATTTACTTGATTCAGTTATTTTTCAGTATATTTTATCAACACAGCGATAGACCGCTGAAGTTATTGTCGTCATTCTGTAGTCGGCATCATTCCCATAGTGGGAACTTTTCAAACAAAAACGTTCCAGACCTGATGGACGTTCCAGACTGTTTGTCCCATGTACATTTTTCTTCTGAAGGTCAGTGGATCCTCTGAACGCTGAGGGAACGACAGCCACAATTTTCAGTTCATTTTTATCATAGAGAAATCCAGTTTAAACCAATTCCAGACATAGAAATGACTACAGAATGACGACACAACGTCAGAGGTCCTTTGCCAAGAGTAAATTAAATTAAGGACAAAATTGTGTAGATGCGATATATTTTATTATACAACAGTTAGTTCCGGCCACACAAGCTGATTGGTTGAGCAGCGTTCTAACTGTGCTGTTATTTCACCATAACATCACGGTTTTCGTCACAAACACTATCACTCTGCTGAGACGGCGTTGCTAAGCAACGGCTTTGACAGCTGTAGGAGACGCTCAAGACATTTGAACGTTTTTACTTCTTACTTTGCCACAAACAGAAAATGGACACTTTTAAGATCACGTTTGACCGACAGCCGATTTGGTCAGACTCTGAAGATCAGACGACACTAAATTCCCAAACTGTCATCACCACTGAGCAGCTTTTCAGTCGGCAGCTGTGACAGAAGAACAGCTAAACAACCTGGAATCAGCCAGAAATGAACCCAATACCATTCGCCAAACGTGTAGTCTGATCTTCAGAGTCTGACCAAATCAGACTGAGCCATAAAACTGCCGCAATATCAAGTTCAGCTCAGTTCTGTCAGTTTTTTTCCAGATCAGTATTAATGTTGTTTTGTTCCAGCCAGTCTGTAAAGCATCTTACAGCCCGTTTAGTTTGGCGAATGGTGTTGGGTTCATTTCTGGCTGATTCCAGGTTGTTTAGCTGTTCTTCTGTCACAGCTGCCGACTGAAAAGCTGCTCAGTGGTGATGACAGTTTGGGAATTTAGTGTGAGGAGCTGGAGAACGAACTGCCGGCTGTGCAGCGAGTGGGCGGAGCTCGTTACTCTGACGTAGCAACAAGCTGCTCGTTAAGGAACTATAATTTGGTGAAGGAACTGCGAACATTAAAACATATTAAACGCCGCGTTCACGGCCCAGTTTATTAATTTATTACTGTATTTATTTAACTGTTGTATTAAAGCAATAGAACACTCGAGGAGTGTGTTATCGCCAATAACATCACGGCTGTGATGATCTACGGCGACCAAATAACGGCCGTGATGTTATTTCACAATAACACACTCCCTCTCGGGTTCCTTTGCTTAATAAACGTGTAACTGATTTATACACTTGAATCAGCTAAATTCAATGTGAAACTAAAACAATCCACGTTTTTACTCTCTTCAGTCTTCTAACAGATCTATTTAGACACTGAACCCTTTAATCTAGAGCCGAAAAGGTGGACATTTCTGCATTTTAATCTGCTCTTCTTTATTTCTAACGTAATTTTTCAGTGCTGTTGTCACATTTACTTTGATATGTAATGTATGTGATCTAATAAAGCTGAAACAGGAGTTGAAACAGCAATAAACTTAAGTCACCTTTTATTGTCACCCTGGTTTAACAACTTAAAAAGCTCTTAGTGATCTGAATGCGTGTCTCACTTGCAGAGAAACCTTAGAGATGTTTTTGATATCTCTATATTAGAGAGCACTGAGTTAAAGGGGACTGCAGGAGAAACCTTTGCATTGGACGACTGATAGTTTAGAGAAACCGTCTGTTTTCTTTCGCAGGACATTTCCGGAGCTGCAGCTCAAATCGATGAGAGGGACACCAAGATTCTCACCTTTATCACGTACATTGGCTGTGGCATCTCTGCCATCTTCTCAGCAGTGACAATACTGACTTACATTGCCTTTGAGTGAGTTTTTACACTTTCTAACAAAAATCTTTAACTACCCGAATTCAGCGAAATTGTCTGTGAGAGTGTAATTGTATGAATCAGTACTTCAAGCCTGTGCTAGAGTTATCAAAAGCACTGTCCAGACAGGATTAGTTTTATGTGGGGATTATGGGGTAATGTAATTTTTACCATGTCAGTAAAGATTCTAGAAGCTTTTATTTTCTGTAAAATGAACCACAGAAAGAAAAAGCAGGTTATGTTACACCTGGGTGAATTGCAGTGTCGGTAAAAATTCCATCATATCCTGTGTTTTTGCTGTTTTTTTTTCGGCGTGGAGGCGCTCAAATAAGCATTTGCTTTTATTTTCTGCAAGTACCCAAATCAAGCCAACATGTGTTAATCTAACTTGTATTACTCTGAATATTGAAGCATAAAAATAACATAAAAAATAGATTTTTTGTGCCAATGTTGACTTTTGGCTTTACATTTCTAGGCTAATAATTATGCAAATGACACGCCGCATTCACTTTTATCAGCTAGGCAGATGATTAGGGTAAATGAAATTATGATTACTAAAAATTTTTGGAAATGTTTAGTACCTGTGAGCAGCCGAACGCGGCACATACGGAAGCCACTCTGATCTCAGCGACTTTTTATTCTGTAAAAATTGATCATAAATGTTACTGACATTCTGTAGAAACTAGTGTTGTAGTCAATAACAGTAGAGATGAGTTCAAGTCAGGACCGAAACCATAAGTGGCAGGAGCAAGACCAGATTAAGATTTTTAAAGGGGTGGGAGAAGGAAAACTGTTTGTAGTTCATTATATATTTATAATCATTCATTGTACATGACATATCAATATTATCATATATATCAAATATTATATTTTATAATGTATTTTGGAAAATTCAACATTAAATAATATATAGCCTAAAAATATTATTGATTATATGTATATCGCTGTTGTCGGAGGAAAACCTCGTATCTCCATTTTGACATAATCTGAAAATGCCTGTTTTCCTTTACATTGTATGTAAATTTCATGATGAAATGATCAAAAGAAACAACCCAAAATTACTTGTAAAAAAGTCTGGCTCCATTGACTTACATTAAAAATAAAGAAGGTTTTTTCAGTAACACTTTCTATGAATGTCACCTTTATAAGCATCTATAAACACATTCATAACATGTTATAATGCATTTATAAGACATTATAAACATAGCTATAAATATTTATGAAAATGCATTACACGTTATAGCCATGCTTATTATGCATTATGAATTGTTAACGTAATACATTATAAGTACTGATCATAACAAATTATAAGAGCTCATAAGTGGTATTTGTCTGCTCTAAGTAAAGTGAAGCGTACTGTACTAAAGCCTCCTCCAGTGTTCAGAGTGAGGCTTCAAGTTGAAGTATTTACTGAAGGATTTACTGAAACACTAAAACATTCACAATAAAGCACATTACAGGCTTCAAATGTCAGAGTTTAAACTAGAGCTGCCATCAGTGTTTTACCCAATGTGGGAAAGGTAATGTTCACCACCGTTAGCTTGGTATTTATCTTTACTTTACGCTCTCCAAGCTGGGACTGACTTCTTTGGCACTGTTATAACATGTTATACTGTCAGTGCCAAAGAAGTCAGTCCCAGCTTGGAGAGCGTAAAGTAAAGACAAATACCAAGCTAACGGTGGTGAACATTACCTTTCCCACATTGGGTAAAACACTGATGCAGCTCTAGTTTAAACTCTGACATTTGAAGCCTGTAATGTGCTTTACTGTGAATGTTTTAGTGTTTCAGTAAATCCTTCAGTAAATACTTCAACTTGAAGCCTCACTCTGAACACTGGAGGAGGCTTTAGTACAGTACGCTTCACTTTACTTAGAGCGGACAAATACGACTTATTAGCTCTTATAATTTGTTATGATCAGTACTTATAATGTATTATGGTAACAATTCATAATGCATAATAAGCATGGCTATAATGTGTAATGCACTTTAATAAATATTTATAGCCGTGTTTATAATGCCTTATGAATGCATTATAACATGTTATGAATGTGTTTATAGATGCTTACAAAGGTGACATTCATAGAAAGTGTTACCGTTTTTTTTCTTCTCCTGCAAAGCTGTAATTTTGGAGATACAAGGTTTTGTTCCAACAACAGTGATGACAGAGAAATTATTCTTTGTCCTTTCTTCTCTAAAACTAATTCAGAATCACACAAGCAGAGAAAGGATCGTTTTATTGTGTGTGAAGATTTTGGTGAAATTCAATAATAGAAAAAAGTTTCCAATTACCTCAGATGAAGGCATTGCACTTGATTGGTCTCGAGAGCAATTTTTGAGTCTGCCTTACCTCGAGACCAAGACAGAGTCCAAATGATATTGAGACCAATACAAGCCCAAGACTGTCAGTATATGCTGTTGAGACCAAGACCAAACTGAAGTACAGTACTACTAGTACAACATTAGTGATTTCCACACCTCCCCATGTAAAACTAATCAAACTGGAAAGTACCGAAGTCTTAAGACTCACATAGAAAAGGGAGAAACGCTCAGCATGACTTCCAGACTCTGAAAACTTTATTACCTCTTGTCTGTGGCTTTTCAAAGAATTTTCTATTCCGTCTGCCAGCGTTTTGACGGACATCTGAAAGGCTGTGTTGTTTTAACAGTTGTTCAGAGATGATGGTGCAGAATCCTCTCATGCCAGAGTAATATTGCCACTCTACCTCCATAAACCAGGAAACTCGCTTGGGGCTAATATTAGAGCTGAGCCAAGTATTTTAAATGAGGAGAGATCAAACTTGTGATGTTTTTGCTTTCAAAAATAAAAATGTCTTTGGCTGCAGAAGACTGGATCATTTCCCACATGGGGGTCATACAGGAGACCTTCACAAACACACATATACAACATTTTGATATTCAATTATTTATCATATAGTTTCAGTCAACTAATAACCGATTAATCAGTTTAAATTTGGCCTGTAAATGTGAAGCTGTAACTTTAACATGTTCTGCAATGTTCTTATAAACTGAGGTTCAGGAAAAAACATCTGCACTTTGTTTAATCCTGACTTTCTTATCACGTTGCTACAACGTTGTCAGAAGGTGGTGTTGTTTATGTTGTCTGTACAGGGTTGTCACAGCCTCATTATTCCATGCACAGCGTGATGGAACTTATGAAGGATTCTAGTTATCTGACAACATGGTGACAACGTGTTTCTCTGATACTTTGTTAGCCCCCTTTTACCCTGTTCTTCAGTGGTCAGGACCCCCATGGACCCTCACAGAGCAGGTACTATTTGGTTGGTGGATCATTCTCAGCACTGCAGTAACACTGACGTGGTGGTGTTGTGTTAGTGTGTGTTGTGCTGGTCTGAGTGGATCAGACACAGCAGTGCTGCTGGAGTTTTTAAACACCTCAGTGTCACTGCTGGACTGAGAATAGTCCACCAACCAAAAATATCCAGCCAACAGCGTCCTGTGACCACTGATGAAGGACTAGAGGATGACCAACACAAACTGTGCAGCAGCAGATGAGCTATCGTCTCTGACTTTACATCTACAAGGTGGACTGACAAGGTAGGAGCGTCTAATAGAGTGGACAGTGAGTGGACACAGTGGATCCACTCAGACCAGCGCAACACACACTAACACACCACCACCACGTCAGTGTTACTGCAGTGCTGAGAATGATCCACCACCCAAATAGTACCTGCTCTGTGAGGGTCCATGGGGGTCCTGACCACTGAAGAACAGGGTAAAAGGGGGCTAACAAAGTATCAGAGAAACAGATGGACTACAGTCTGTAACTGTAGAACTACAAAGTGCACCTATGTAGTAAGAGGAGCTGATAAAATGGACAATGAGCGTAGAAACAAGGAGGTGGTCAGAATGTTATGCCCGATCGGTGTAAATTTAAATTCCAGACATAATTTGGAACTGCAAGAAGTGGGGAGTGAGTTAGTCTCGTATTGTTATGTGTATATATGCGTGTGGGTGTCCTTCAATTAAGTCCGTTTCATTTTCATGGCAATTTGAGCTATAATTGTTCTTTTTCTTTCCCTGTCTTCTCACGTAAGTATGACCATACGACTATATATATTATATATAATATAATTATAAGCGATTGGCTGTCCTCCTCAGTTTAAGTCATTAAACTCCCTCTAGGTTTGACACTACTTTGAAAATGTGAGCAGAAAATTAAAGTCGTAAATATTTATTGAGATTTTTTTGCTGATAATAAAGTTGAATAATTGTTTCAGCCCTAAAACCCCCACACTGCACTAGTCTTAACCGAACCGATGCTCAACTCCTAGGAAATTGCGGCGAGACTACCCGTCAAAGATCCTGATGAACCTGAGCACCTCGCTGCTCTTCCTCAACATGGTCTTCCTGCTGGACGGTTGGCTGGCCTCCTATAACATGGAGGGCCTGTGTGTGGCGGTGGCCGTCTTCCTGCACTTCTTCCTGCTCACCTCTTTCACCTGGATGGGCCTGGAGTCCATCCACATGTACATTGCCCTGGTCAAGGTCTTCAACACCTACATCCGGAGATACATCCTCAAGTTTTGCATCGTCGGCTGGGGTAAGTCCCTGTACGGTAGTGTGTGCTGCCAGTGGCTTACAAAAAAAGTAATGCAGTAACTAATATCTAGCTTCAATGTTGTGTTTTACAAATGCATATAAAAATACTTTTAATAATTAATTATCGGTAATACGTTTAGCATTTTCATGTCCAGACATAGAACATAGAAGATAGAGGATTTAAAGATAAATAACTTGTATTGCTTTTTAAAAATATATCAAAAAAGATATGTTTTCTTAAAGGTATGTACTGAACTTCACAGCCTAATTATGAAATCAGTATAAAAATAGAAAATCATTTTTTTATTTTAGAGGTAAAAATTGCTTCTTTTCTTTCTGTTTTGCAGGCTTATTGCTGGAGCATTGTAAAATAATGTGACACTCATTTATTGACTGTTTCTGTAGGCCTTCCTGCTGCAATTGTAGGCATCGTGGTGGCTGTGGACAAAGATTCCTATGGGAAGGAGTATTATGGGAAAGGAGAAAATGGCCAAGGCTCATCTGAATTGTAAGCTACGTTTAACACTTGTGGCCTTTAGTTCTGTGTCAAGTTCATCTCAACTTAAATACTTCATTTAATTGTGTTAACATTGCCGTGAAGTTAAACTACTAAGAGATAATTAGCATTATTTAAATCTAATTATCATCATTGGCCCTCACTAGCTTTCATTAACGGATAGCCGTGGTCTCTTGGGGCCAGACATAATCTTGTTTTGAGAATTTACTTCTAGGGACAACCTGTCAAACTTTTGCTGTTTCAGGATGTGGCAAAATCACCACTAATAAGTGTAGGTCTGCGCTAAACCCCACCCCTAAATTTACTGGTTCTTTTAATGTGAATGCAAATCCGATGACTTAGCTTTCTTAATTTTTTAGAGTTCTTAAATTTTGGGAAAATGTCTCATTGCTATTTTTCTGAACCAGTAATGCTGTTTAAGTTGAAATTTTTCTGTAAAGGTCCAAGCCTGTAATTTTGGGGGAAAAAAAGCCCAAAGGATGCACTTTTTGTTGTTTGAGGCTTGAACGCTGAATGTACTGTGCCAGACCGCCAGTCGTGGTTGTGTTGTTATGCACACAGCACATTTGTGTTAGGTTGCTTATGAATGGTCTGACTCATCTTCAGACAGTTCACAGGCTTCTTGTTACATACATACATCATCTAAACCGCTTATCCTTCTGGGTCGCGGTGGGGTGCTGGAGCCTATCCCAGCTGTCATTGGGCGGAAGGCAGGATACACCCTGGACAGGTCGCCAGTCCATCACAGGGCAGACAGACAGACAGACATATACAGTCACACACTCACACCTAGGGGCAATTCAGCATGTCCAATTGGCCTGACTTCATGTTTTTGGACTGTGGGAGGAAACCCACGCAGACATGGGGAGAACAGGCAAACTCCACACAGAAATGACCCTGGTCACCCGGCCAGGAATCGAACCCAGGCCATTCTTGCTGTGAGGCGACAGCGCTACCCACTGCGCCACACTGTTATTACATTAAATACCTCCAGAACAAATTAAAACACTAAAACACCATTGATAATATAATTAAATATAATACAGGGTGATTCAAAAAGATTCATCCAATTTCAAAATGATTTATTTCACTTGTAAATCGTTACAGATCAGTGCAGTGAACTGTAAATGGTTTAATTGAGCATAAAGTTTATTATGTAATTGTACAAGGTCTCAGTATGAACCTCCTCCAGCTGTACAGACAACATCAACACCATAGTCAAACTCATCCCATACTGGATTGATCATGTCGGGTGTCGCTGCACTCACGGCTCTTTCAGTGCGATTTCGGAGATCATCCAGTGTTGTGGAACCAACGCCGAACGCTCTGAGCTGTTGGAGCTTCACTGCCCACGAAGATCACACTGCACAGTTATGACGGATTCACTCTTATTGAAGTGGAGAACGCAGAACGCTTTCTGCTCAGGGGTCTCATCTCCTCTCAGACTGAAGGGGGAGCCATCTTCCACTGACAGTCAGAAACTCCATGACCCCCTCTTTCAATTGGATTGTGATTGGTTCCTAGGCGGTTACTGCAGTGCTGAGAATGATCCACCACCCAAATAGAACCTGCTCTGTGAGGGTCCATGGGGGTCCTGACCACTGAAGAACAGGGTAAAAGGGGGCTAACAAAGTATCAGAGAAACAGATGGACTACAGTCTGTAACTGTAGAACTACAAAGTGCACCTATATAGTAAGTGGAGCTGATAAAATGGACAATGAGTGTAGAAACAAGGAGGTGGTCAGAATGTTATGCCTGATCGGTGTATAAACTGATTTTCTGTACTAGTTCTCTGTCTGTTCCAAGTTCCTTTCTGAGTATTTGCGTGTTCTTCCATCTCTCTTTTTTCTCTTAAGCTGTTGGATACGCAGCGAGGTGGTTTTCTACGTGACGTGTGTGGCCTACTTCTCCATCATCTTCCTCATGAACGTGGCCATGTTCATTGTGGTGATGATGCAGATCTGTGGTAGGAACGGCAAGCGCAGCAACCGCACAGTACGGGAGGAGGTTCTGCGCAACCTGCGCAGCGCAGTCAGCCTCACCTTCCTGCTGGGCATGACTTGGGGCTTCGCATTCTTTGCCTGGGGCCCTGTCAACCTAGCCTTCATGTACCTCTTCTCCATTTTCAACTCTTTGCAAGGTACATCAGCAAAACATCACGGCATCATATGGCTCTTGAAGGAATACATCAGAAATGATAATATTGCTTATAATGACTGAAAGCTGACATTAAAGGCTCATTTATACTTCTGCATATGCTTATTTGCAAACAGGCGCAAATGCTCATGTAAGCGCCTGCCAGCATGCTTGCATGGAACGTGAATGTGCACACTAGGCAGCAGTGTCTGAGGCCAAATGTGGTTGGGGTAGGTGGTGGTTAGTGTGGTGTAGTGGGTAACACCTTTGCCTTCTACACTGTAGACACATTACACGGTAAGCACTAGTGGTGGGAATCTTTAGGCACCATTTGATTCGATTACGATTCAGAGGCTGCGATGCGATTATAAAACGATTATCGATGCATCTTTTTTCTCTATACAGGATCTCTATCTTCCTACTGTCTGAGGACTTGGTAGTTTTAAAGCAAAGTATTTGTAATGATCCATAATGTAAATGCATTACGGATCATTACAAATACTTTGGTTTAATTATCTAAAATATCTTTTATTAATAAATCAAATGGAGGTGATGCGGCAAGTGCACTAGAAGGCTCTCATTCAGAGACGCTGCTGCCACTCATCTGCGATAAAATGCGCTGTTGCCCTGAAATAAGATCCAGTGGTAATGGGTGTCCACGCACCACGTTACAGCCATCCTTTTGGTCTCGTTGTAGAGTATTTTCGAGACTGGACGCTGAATCTCGGCTCCAAAGTGTGCAGCATAGCGCGAAAGTCCTGGTTCTCAACGACTGAGAACAGACAGCAGACAGCAGGTCACACAGCCCCGAGGTCTGGCCTCGCCAGTAGCGAACGAAAAAACAGACTAAGACGAACATTTGGAGACTTATTCGCATTTATAAGCAGCGCGGTTGGTTAAATCTGCTGAGAGACTGTCTTTCTCTAAAAAGTTGCGAAAATGAACTCGCTTCTCTTTCGAATTTTCCCGTTCCACCTTAAATGGTGCAGCAGTTACATTCGGCGCCTAAGGCAGAATTTAAGGTGGAACAGGAAAATTAGAACGAGAAGCTGGCGAATGAGAAGCGACTTCAGCCTCGTAAAACAGCCGGACGCTGAGACATTTTACAAGAAACTCTTCTAGTTTTGAAGAAGAGTTTTCTGGCGGAGATGGAAGGAAAGCGGCTAAAGCTGAAGCTTAAAGCAGAGCGGAGTAAATCTGCGCTCTCGTTTATATTGTTTAGCCTATACTTGGACATCAACACACACTGAGACATACTGGACATTAAATGCTGTGGCTTCCAAGGTGGTTTGACTTCGTTGAAAGGCAAAATGGCTCTTCTTATCATTTGTGTTGTGACTCCTGACCTAACCTGGCTTTTAATGCAGAGGGAGCCGGTTGAATTTCTCGCTCCTCCAGTAGTGTTTTTGTTATGTGCCCCACAGACTGTCCGGGCGCTGCACTTTCCCACTTCCAGTTCCGCCCTTTGCGTTCCGTCAACATTACATTATAAATTAAATATTTAGAAAATCGATTTTTGACGTTGAATGAATCGATTCAGAATCGTTCACGTCCGCATCGCGATGCATCTAAGAATCAAGTTTTTCCCGCACCCTTAGTAAACACCCTACACTATACCAATAAGAGTCCTTGGGCAAGACTCCTAACACTACCTTCACCTACCTGTGTAAGAATGATCAAACTGAAAGTCACTCGGAATAAAAGCATCTGCCAAATACCATAAAATGTAAAATTGGGTAACACTTTCTATGAATGTCACGTTTGTAAGCATCTATGAACACATTTATAACATGTTATAGTGCATTCATAAAGCATTATAAACATGGCTATACATTTTTATAAAAATGAATTACACTGCATTACACTTTATAGCAGTGTTTATTATACATTATGAATTGTTAATATAATGCATTATAAGTAGTGTTAATAACATGTTATACTCTCAGTGACTCAAGAAGTCAGTCCCAGCTTGTAGAGCGTAAAGACAAATACAAAGTTTATTTACACCCTGAGATTTCCAGTATTTTATTTCTCAGCGCATGTTCTGCACGTTCTGGGCTTCAGTCCTGAATATTCAGATGCTCCAAACAGGCTGTCCAGCCTAGAATCACTGCCACAGTGCGCTTTTCTTAACCAGCGTCTCACTTTAAACACTACAGTACATCACAGCAAACCAAGTACAAAAACACTGCTGAGGGCAGCTCTAGTTTAAACTCTGACATTTGAAGCCTGTAATGTGCTTTACTGTGAATGTTTTAGTGTTTCAGTAAATCCTTCAGTAAATACTTCAACTTGAAGCCTCACTCTGAACACTGGAGGAGGCTTTAGTACAGTACGCTTCACTTTACTTAGAGCGGACAAATACGACTTATGAGCTCTTATAATTTGTTACGATCAGTACTTATAATGTATTATGTTAACAATTCATAATGCATAATAAGCATGGCTATAACGTGTAATGCATATTTATAAATATTTATAGCCATGTTTATAATGTCTTATAAATGCATTATAACATGTTATGAATGTGTTTATAGATGCTTATAAAGGTGACATTCATAGAAAGTGTTACTGAAAAAACCTCCACAGATTCGCATAACATGTAGCTGATTTTTTGGAGCTGTGCACGTTGTGGCCTCAGCGAGCGTCTACGACCTTCTCGTACCCATGAATCCCTGAACATTTACATGCATTTTCGCAGAAGTGTAAATCATTAGGGCAACATAATTCAGTTGATATCATGCTATCTAATAACTTTCATTCACTATCACTGTTAGCATTTTGTTAGGATTCCTTTAAATATATTGTCGCTGTCCAAACAAATCGCTCCATATTTAGCAATTTGTATTTGTCTGCATCATCTGAACACAGCAGCTGCCTAATGCAGTGTATGCAAACTGCGTGATTAATGGACAATAAAAAAAAAATGCTCCAAAATGATTTAATAAGGAAAAGGTTCTTATTACATTAAGTTACAGTGAAAGTTTCGAACGTTTTGCCGTCTCCTGTAAAATAACAATTTTAGAGGTATGTTTTTTTTGGACAGCAATGATATGCTAGCTTATTGCCTCACTTTGAATGTTCAAGGCTATTATGTTTTTCACTGTTTTCTTCATTTTTGAACAGTCAGTCATTTTTTTCAGATAATAGGCCTGTCACAATAATCAGATTTTATCTGACGAATCTGAATTGCCATATAAATAATTGCGTTTATCAGTTTAATTCTCTTTTTTTCATTGTTTGCAACTATTAAAATATATGGCGTTCTTCCTAGTTGCCGATACTTAGTAAATACACAAATATTACTCAGCACTGCCCTGTAAACGTGATGTAGCACCAGCCAGAAGTTGTTTGAGCATTTGTTGACTTCACCTCAACCAAGCTTATGAAAATGTACTAAATAAAATTTCTGTTTTTTGCGATGTAAACATATTATTGAGAAACTAATCACTGTAGAAAATATTTGTGCTCAGCTTCAGTATTTGTGGTTGTGTAGTCACTGTGACAGACCTATCAGATAAATAATTTTATCCACGCTCTGGGCAGTAATGCATTCTTTCATTCTATTTTGATGTTGGTCAAACTTTACAGAATGCTGAAAAAAATTCCATTCACACTAAAGAGAAATTGTACCGCAACTCAAAATACTGAACATTTTTACATCTGAGCACTACGGCGGTTCTTTAGTGTTTTATTTGAAATGAGTTACACACTCTAAACGTAGGTATTTCAAGAAAAACTGAGTTATGTGCTACAATTTCTCATTAGGTTTCCAGTGTTCTGTAAAAGTTGTCCAGCATAGCAACAACAGCTATAAAAGAATGTATTTGTAAGCAGAGCATGAATAGGTCTATTTGACTGCACCCATTGGCCCATATTTTAATTTGCATAAAACATCATGACAGAATCGGTGTAAAATAACTGCTTTTATATCTCTAATATTGAAAGTTATACAGTGTTCCACAAACAGGGCTGTTATACAGGCAAATGTACAACCCAATTCCAAAAATGCAAATGAAAACACAAATCAGTGATTTAAAAATTTCTGCTTTGACCTGTATTTGAACAAAAACAGTACAAAGACGAGACATGTAATGTTTTGCCTTATCAACTTCTATTTTTTATATAAATATATGCTCATTCTGAAATTGATGCCTGCAACACTTTCCAAAAAAGTTGGGACAGAGGGAGATTGAGACTAGAAACATTGTAAAATTGTCTGAAACAAGTGATGTAATCATGTTTGGATATAAAAAGAGCGTCCAGGAAAAGTCTAGCCCTTTATGATCAAGGATGGGTTCAGGCTAGCCACTTTGCCAAAAATGCATTAGCAGAAAATCCAACAGTTTTTAAAATCCAACAAGGATTTTAGGTATTTTAAGTATTTCATCTTCTATGCATAATATCACAAGATGATTCAGGGAGTCCAGAGAAATATCTATGCATAAAGGGCTAGGCTGAAAACCTGTGACCTTTGACCTTCACGCTGCATAAAAAAACAGCATGCTTCTGTGATGGATGTCACCACATAGGCTTGGGAATACTTTGAAAAGACATTGGCATTATTGTCAGTACAGTGTCCCTCGCTGCATCCACAAACGTTAAGACTGTACTACACACAGTGAGGGTCATATCAGCTGTGTCCAGAAACACTGCCGACTTCTCTGGGCTCAAGCTGATCTGAAATAGGCTTATGCTCAAAAATGTGACGTGTTTTTAGAAATTGTTTTTAGAAATAATGGACATCATGTTCTCCACGCCCATCCAAGTTGTTATCAGCGTAAAGTTCCAAAACCAGGGTCGGCCATGGTATATGGGGGGGTATTTGTAGGTAACCTGCACATTTGTGAAGGCATCATTAACTCTGAACACATGGTGCAACATATACTGCCATCCAGACATAAAAAAAAGAAATGTCATGGATGTCTGTGCTTATGTCAATATGACAACACCAAGCCACTTCCTGCACATGTTAACACAGCAAGGCTGGGTAATCAGAGAGTGCGGGTGCTAGACTGGCCTGCCAGTATTGTTAAAATGAAAGGTGATGTAACACAGTGGTGAATAAGCTCCTGTCCCAACTTTTTTGGAATGTGTCACAGGCATCATATTTGGAACGAGCATATATTTACAAAAACAATGAGGTTAATCAATCAATCAATCAATCAGCCTTTATTTAAACTCTGAATACATTGAGGGAGACCCTTATTTACAGTGTAGCCGAGCAATACAAACATCAGGGTCTGAGAAGTTGGGTAGTAAAAACAAATCAAATATTTTATAATAAAGTGATAAAAATCATAATAGTAAACTTTAATATTATAAAGGGAACCAATAAACTGTTAAATCAATAAACCATATACAGTATACCATCTAGTAACTTTTCAAGTAACAGATCAGATAAGGATAAAATAAACATATATTAATGAAATAAAGGTAATAGAAGATGTAAGACAATAAGTTGGCAATAATAAAATAAATAAAAAAGAATAAAATAAATAAAAAGAGTACTAAAAAAACAAATAAAAGGAATAAAAAGTAAAACAATAGCTAAGACAGCTAAAACACACCAAAAATCACATTAAAAGTTAAGTAAAGTCAAATAAAACAGAAAAAATATTACATATAAAATATAGCGTTTTTGTATTATTTTCAATGTAATACAAATCAAGCAGAAATGTAATCACTGCTTACTGGTTAATCAGTATTTGACATACTATCCCATCTTTTTTGGAAGAAAAAGGAAGGGAATGCTGGAGATCCCTGAACTGCACAAGTTCACATTTCCTCTGGTTTGACTTAATGAGCTCAGGTTTTCAGTGAGGGATGTTATTAGGATACGTGTATAAGTGTAGTGCAGGGAGGACCTTTAGGGCTACCTGCAGTAAATATAACTTTGATCCTAATTTATTTCATTCCGCATGTTGCCCACTAGAGGGCTTGATGGTGCCACTGACTGATCCAACCCTTTTGTCTGTAGTAATCCAATCCTGTCCCAAATCTCTTTTATCCAATAGGTTTATTCATATTCATATTCCATTGTGCTCTGAAAGAAAATGTACAGAAGCAGTGGAGAAGATATCTATGCTGTGGAAAGTTCCGTTTGGCTGACAATTCAGGTAAAATGTATAGACAGTTTTTCATTAAAATGAAACAGCGGTTATTTTATTCCTTATTGTTTTCCTGCTTGCTGATGAGCCTTTATCAGGCCTGTATGTACATAATGATTGCAGTTAATGTGATTCCATTGTGTTAATAGGGTAGTTCAACTTATCTGTCATGCCAAGATGACTTTACAGATGCAGGAGACATTCATTTCATTGTGTGATAACTGTAAACAAGTGAAGCCCATCTTTAAGCTCATTCTAGTGTCCTTAGGTAACACAGAGCTGCCTTTACTGTTGGATGCACGGTGACAGTTTCAGCAAAGCATGCACATCTTCAAAATGCAATTCAGATTATCGATTGATTTCAATAAAAAGCAACTGAGGTGTGAAGTAGTTTTCTATATTTGCTTGCTCAAAATGGTATTTTACATTAAGAAATCATGTAAACTTCACACACTGTAATTCATATATCTACCTGATAAATAAATGACCCCCCCACCGAAGTGCATGTGTTCTTAAAGTAGTGAATGTGCTGGTTATTCAAATGGTGTTTCTGTTTTTTAAAATATTTTTACGTATTCTTAATATTTTAAATATTGACGCCAAAGAAAAAGCGGCTTTTGCATCAGTATTAAAGGGTTAAAATGAAAACTCTGACATTTTTCTCCTTAAGTAAAAGACAGATATGATGTGTATGAAATGTATGCATCATAAATACAGAAAGCAGTGCAGGCTCTGCTTTATGAGGGAGAAAAGTCATTTGTCTTTGGGGCATCAGTGAGATTTTTGACTGTATCGTGTTTTATTGTATCATGTTAACAGGGTAGTTCAACTTATCTGTCATGCCAAGATGACTTTACAGATGCAAGAGACATTAATTTCATTGTATGATAAATAAACAAGTGAAGCCCAGCTTTAAACTCATTCTAGTGTCCTTAGGTAACACAGAGTAAAAAGCCAAAAAGATTTGTGTGGAGCTTCACTACCAATAAAACAAAAATCTCACTGATGCCCCAAAGACAAATGACTTTTCTCCCTCATAAAGCAGAGCCTGCACTGCTTTCTGTATTCATGATAATGCAGTATTTCATAGTGCATCATAAACGTCTTTTACTTAAGGACAAAAACATCAGAGTTTTCATTTTAACCCTTTAATACTGACGCAAAGGCTGCTATTTCTTTAGCGTCAACATTTTAGAATATTAAAATACGTAAAAATCTTTGAAAACAGAAACACCATTTGAATAACCAGCACATTCACTACTTTAGGAACACATGCACTTCTGTGGGAAAAACATTTGTTTATCAGGTAGATATATAAATTACAGAGTGTGACCTTAACATGTTATTAACATTTATTATTTTCTTCCCCTCAAAGGACCATTTGAGCAAGAAAATACAGAAAACTACTTCACACCTCAGTTGATTTTCATTGAAATCAATCAATAATCTGAATTGCATTTTGAAGATGTGCATCCAACAGTTAAGGCAGCATCATGTTTCTATTATACAGTGATCAGAAACAGCTAAGTGAGCAGAAAGTCCATATTCTGATCAGTTTTCTGTTGCCACCACAGACATAGTAATGAGTTAAAGGGTAACTGAGTTTCTGAACAACTGTGACTGAGTAGGTATTGTTTAAAAACTCCTCTGTTTCATATAATATCATATTGTCCAAAAACATTCTTGTATACATTTTATACATTAATACGGTCCCACCAAATGTTTGATAAAATATTTAAAAAACTGAAAATTGGAATCACCAACATGTTTACTACTTTTATGAAGCCATGCACTTCATTGGCAAAAAAAAAATTGTTTATCAGGTATATAAATAAATGACAGAGTGTGTGGTCAGGCTGTCCAGAGCTGTAGGAAAATTATTCAGATTGCACCAGCCGTCAAAGCTGTGGCTGAGTGTAGCATGTTCTCCAATATAAAGCAGTTCTGAGCAGCTTAAAAACCTTCACCCCCTCAACCATTCACTGACAACAATTCACCATATAGTTTGATTTCTTAAGACACTGAGTTTGTTTACATGCACTTAATAATCTGATAACTGTAGAAAATCAGATTTTGTCAGTAATCCGATCTACGCGTTCACATGCACTTGAGGAATCAGATATGGGGAAACTCCAGGTCTACAAGAGTCAGACAGTAATCAGATTTCTTCTTTACAACCAGCCAATAAACTCACAGAAGAAGACGCGACGTAAACATAATGTAAAACTCAAACTTCATGCTGCAGCTTTAAAAAACCATCGCGCCACTTTGCCTGGAAATATGAACATCTAGAAGATGAAGAATATTCAAATCCTTTATTTTGTCAAGTATGTTGTCGGTTTCAGCGCCGCTCCAAAAGTGTTTTGCAGCGACGCTGCTCGCTTATTCCCAGTAATGCCATCTGATCTCACACATGCACAGACTGAGAAATCCGAAAGAAATCAGAGTAAGAGTTTACATTCACTGAGAAATCTGATTACTGACCTAAAATCCAGCTCTCTTCATCAGATTTCTTAATCGGATTTCTAGATCGGTATATGGTGTTTACATTACCATTTGAATAATCAGATAACTGCAGAAATCTGATTATGATCGGATTATTAAGCACATGTAAACACACTTATTGGTTAAAAAACGCTGTTTCCTCTGTAACAAGAAATTCGGTTGATAAAATGAACACAAGAATTTTTTAATCCTTGTAGAATATTTAAATACTTAAAATGATTTTGAGTTTATATCGAGTTCATATAGAATACTTTTTTTTTTCGAGTTCATATAGAATACATTTTTAATTTTTATTTAAAACTCCTCTCGCGGCTCTCTGCAGAAACATGAAGCTCTGCTCAAGTTCATTTCACGCCCAAAATGCTCTACAGCTATAAAAACACTGCAGAAACATCTTAAAATTAATTGCGTGGAAAATAAATTCACTCCATCAAAACATCGACATCTGTTCTTGTAACAGGAATACTTTGTCAGTTGGAGCACAGCCACCTCAGAAACACCAGCACCTGTTGGCATTAAGCTACATCCACTATTCAATGTAAATCTGTGGAGTAATGAAGAATTATTTGCTCTATAATTTTCTTTCTTATTGTAATTAGTTTATTATTCTTCAACTGGTCATTTAAACGACTCTGTAAAAAGCAGAACTTGCTTTGAAATGTTTTTGAGGTTTGAATTGGTGTGAAATATTTATTTTCCTCATCTAAACTAAAATTTTGCTTTGCGTTGTTTCATTGAAACTGTCAATTTGACTTGAGTAAAAGCAGCTAATCTGCCTAATTGCTTATTACCACATGTTTTTAGGTTGAACTGACAAACCAGTGAATTATTCTTTAACAGTAAGTGAAAAAAATCATTACATCAGAAAGAACATTAAAAAACGGAGTAGTGTATAGTTACTGTACCAGAACAAATGAAGTAATAGAAACTAAAATATTCAGTATTTTACATTATTTAGTGAACAGAAAGGTGTTACGTACTCAATTCGCCACATATTCTCATCCACATCACACGTAAGGTCCTCTCTTGCTTATATGAGCATAATTGTGAACAGAATGAATCCAGATGTGACCCCTTTTCATAGATGGTCAGCAAATGGGTAGGAATTACGTTCCAGTTTGTATCACAGTTTTATGGGCTGTGATTGTTGTCCGATGTAGTATTTCTGATGTATTAAATCGATATGCAGTTTATTTTCGTATTAGGTTCTGGCGTTCAGTGAATTTGCAAACTAAGCTTGAGAAATACAGTTAAAAATGAAGTAAAAGTGTAAGAGAAGTGAATTAAAGAATTCAGGAAATTGTCACTGAATGCGTTCAAACAAGGAAACAGCTGGTCCAAACAGAGTGTTGTTGCTAACTGTGTGAAGAACTTTGAAAAAGAGGACTCAGTACTGAAAATGCTTGTTCACAGTCGTAAATATGTAATGAAGCATGTCTTTCAGAGGTGAATTGCGCTGCCCCTCAGTTCCTAAAGCTTGTCTGTTTGTTGTAGACTGGAGCAAAACAGCCACTAACAACACCAAGAAAGTGAGCTCAGACAATCTGGGGAAGTCACTCTCCTCCAGCTCCTTCGGCTCCACCACGGCCAACTGGACCTCCAAGGCCAAAACCACGCTGAACCCCTTCGCAAAGCGACACAGCAGTGCAGGTGAGCTCCTCTGTTATATCTGTTTATAGAATTAAATATATACACCATTCCCGTTACATGACGACACAGATTAAGCCTTGTTCATCATAAAAGCCATTTCAGTGGAGAATTGATTATAATTCTTTTCAACATACTAGTTGAAGTTTGTGTCCAGAACATCAGCCTAGTCCATCTAAAGTACTTCCTTATTATCTTAATAATTCATGTTACAGTAATGATAGTCTTCAGTGCACAATGCCATCCCTGAAAAATCCACATTTCATCTTTTAGGTGTTTTTCATTATTAGATTACATGTCGCTGTTGAGGAAAACCTGGTATCTCCAAAATGGTAATTTTACAGGAGAAGGAAAAACGTACTGTATTTTAATGTAAGATTTTTTTCCAAGTTATTTCGGGCCGTTTCTTTTGGCCCATTCTTCATGAAATTTACATACAATGTGTAAGGGTCCAGCATGTGCCGTCGGCCGCCAGCAGAGGGCGATGGTGGCGAGGCACCACCAGTTTAGGGAACTCAAATTCCCAGAAGCCCTCGGGCTGATTAGGTCCAATCCGGCACACCTGTGCGGTCCTCTACTTAAAGCCGTGGCAAACAGCAGCCTTTTGTCACACCTTTGAAGAGGGGTGACGGGTACGGTGACTCAGTGTCGCTCAAGAAGAGAAAACAAAAGAATAAATTGCCCCAAAACTACTGAAAAGACAAAAAGAAGGCTTAAACAAGAAACGGCTTTAAGCCAAACCAAAAGTGTTTGTTCCACAAAGAGCAAACAGGTGAAACATAACGCTGACCTTCCTCTCAGAATCATAGAGGAAGTGTGTTTTTTGTTTTCTGATCTTTTACTTCACTTTTCTATCTCAGCCTTTGTTTGAGCAGGCTGCTTTCAGCGTCCCCTTTGTTTGCCTTTTCCCACCATTTTTTTTGTTTCAATTTCCCTTTTTTGCCTGTGGCGCAGCGGTAACTCCTCGGACCACCGTTCGGTACATCGGCGATTCGAGCCTGGCTCTGAGCCACCCCAACGTGTAGAATCACTCCATCACCTCATTAATTCATTTAAGACCCTTTCTGACGGGTTTTCCTCTCTGCACTTGGGTCTGTCTCCCTGCCATCCTGTGAAAATTATATTAAAAATGGAGATACAAGGTTTTCTTCCGACAGTGACGATATGTCCATAATAAGCCATAATAAGTCCATAATTAACAATAAATAAATGTAGTAGGTATTTCCTCATCATCCTTTTAGATTTATACATTGCAAAACTATGTAGTAGCAAGATTTTGCTTATGTTGTGCAGTAAACATCTGAGAATGTGTCATTTCATAGTTTTCCAATCAAATATTGATGGTATCCCTATCATGCACTGTGGCTAACAGTCGGGTTGCAAAGCCAATACGTGCACCTTTCCCCCAAATATCACAGTATTATTTGAATTGTATGGTTGTAAGAATTCTGTACTGAGAAAACATTTCTGCACATTTTAATGCACCAAAAATGGGAAAGATAACACATAAATGTGTTTTTGGCAAAAGTAATGGAACATTTTTACATTTTATGTTTCATATTTTTCCCAATTTGTTAACTCAGCAAATAGAAATCATGCACTAAAATTATAGTAGAATATGCTATATTAAAATTTTTACATCTCTGTAGAGGATATGTTACCTTATTTTCTTTAATCCTAACCTAACTTAGTTTTTAATATGATTACTTAGCTATCCTATTTTAATCTCTAATTTTTTAATTTAATGTTCGCTTTTAAATTTATTGTTTGAATCATGTTTTATTTGTTTTTAATACTTTTTCTATTTGCGTTTACTTTTTTTTTTTTTAACAACTCTGAACTTTCTCATTTGTAAAGCACTTTGAATGACAGCAGTGTTTGAAAGGTGCTATATAAATAAAGCTGCCTTGCCTTTTCACTCATAAATTAACAAGACATTTTATTTGACTGGGGCTGCTCAAATCTCCCTGAACGTCGTCAAATTTTTCATGTTTTCTTCTCAATTTCACACCCAGGGCCTCTTTGCTATTTGTGGTGTGGTAGTCGAGTGGCTTTAATTTAAATAGCTGGTGTTATATAATCGAGTTGGTGGTAGACTTAGTTTTACCAGACTGTCTGTGATGTCAAAGAAATACAAAAGTTTGAACACCCCTGGTCAAAAGGCACGTTTTGTTGATCTCCTAATTAATATGTTAACTAAAAAATCTAAAAAATATGTTAACATAATTACTGTTTATTTGTTGAGCTAAACGTATTGGAAAGAATATATATAAAATGTACCATAACTTTTACATAGACCACATGTTATATTTTATAAAGCAAATAAATAGTAAATAGTAATTGTGCAGTAATTATGTATTAAAATATGCAGAATCGTGGACGTGTTACCTTATTTTCACTTAAAAAAAAAAAAAATCAACAGAACGTCGTTTGACCAGCGGTGCCCAACTTTACAGTTATGTTTGGGAGAAATATGTACGCAGGTCAAAACTTATTGGCTTTGCAACTGTTTACCACAGTGCTAACTGTTAATAACACCACTGATGTTTCCTGTAGACAAAAATGTTGCCACAAAATGACACAAACCTGAGTTTTTAAAGTATTTTCCAGTTGTGTTGCTGCTTTTCTTTTTTTCTTGTGTTATTGCTGTTTCTCTGTTTCTGTGTGTCCAATGGTGCCATGTGTTTGTATTTATGTTTGTGGTATAGATAATATCCACCACTAGTGCAATGGAGAGTCTCCCTGAGGTAAAAGAACACAAGCCAGCTTGAGTTCATGCTTCTTTATTTTGTGTGACCGGCCATTAGGGCCTCTTAGGACTGACTGGATTCAATCTACAGCCTAGCTGTAGTCAGAAGCCTCCTCCTCTAATGCTGAGTAAATAACAGGCGTGTGGAGTTTTGTAGTTAACGTTTGACTAATGTTTCTGGTGAATTTGTTGGATTGAATCCAGACTGTGGAGTGACATTCAGGGATACAACCACAGCACAGTGCTGCTCTCTGTCAGTGTCCGTCAAACGTTATTAGAGCCACTGATCTGAAACCATTCGTAGTCGTTCATCGTTAGAGATTTGGCTGACGGGCAGCTAGACTGTAATAGCTCACTAATCCAGTTGACCTGTAGTGAGGAGTAACCGGACTTCCGGCCTAAAAATTGGCTATAAATGTGAAAGAGCTGGTAGAAGGTGATGCTACTGCTCTGAAACCCATATATAGAGCTCCAGATGCGAGATCTAGTACCCTGTTCTAACAAGAAATACTCATTTCTGAAGGTCTTTTGTGCAATATTATTGTTTATATACTATGTAATAGTGACACTAAAAAGATCATAATGGTTTCAAGGTTTTGTTGAGCTCTTTAAGTCATTTGAATTGAACTGGGCATAAGAGTAATTGTTTTAAAAAGGCTTTGAAAGGCCCACAGTATGTCTGAGACTCTGGCAGAAGAGCTGCATTTGTCCTGTTGCCACTCTGCATGTCACTCACACTCGGTTTGATACTAATTTAAACATCTTTGCTGTTTTTTGTTTGGTGTTGTTTTTGGCCACTGCAACCACTGCCCTGTTAGTTACCTTCAAGATATGGTGAACATCAGTTCACATATACATAAAGGAGTGTATGACCACTCAAACCAGACTGGCACACTTATGCATGAGGTGAAATTAGTTATTAGCGGTGTAACGGGCCATAATGTCCTGGACAAATTCATTTTTCCCATTTTTTTTGTGAATTTAATGTAGTAAACACTCACATTTCAAAGTGTACCCCAGTCCAAAAAGCCCATATGAGTAAAGTAAACAGTCACAGACAGTGGTGCTCTTCAACGCTGGTCCTGGAGAGCTACCTTCCTGCAGAGTTTAGTTCTAGCCTGTGTCCGGTAAGATGCCCCGCCTCTTACTGAACTCTAATACAGCTGATTCGGCCAATCAGGGAGATGGGAAACAAACTATGGTGGAACTAGGCTCTGCAGGAAGATAGTAGAGATGTGAATATTCCCAGTCAAATTACAAATTACAAATTACTTTGTTGGTTTTCTATATAAAATATGTTAAACATCCTCTCCAGAGAGCACAGTTGGCAAATTTTAGCGCACGATTTCTTGTTATTTGCTAAGTTTAAAATATTAGAAAAAATAAAACATAAAATATAAATTGTGCTGGAGAAAAGGATCAGATTTGGCTCACACTTTTACCTGCTGTGTGAAGTTTTAGAGGTAGATTGTTGGGGTTGAGAAAATCTGATCCTTTTTTTCTTATGATGCAACATTCACACTCTGCTATCACTTCCAGATGTGGTTGCATGTGTGTGTGTGTGTGTGTGTGTGTGTGTGTGTGTGTGTGTGTGTGTGTGACAGATCCAGCTGTTAATAGCATCATTGTGGTCATAGTTGAATAGGATGAAAGACTGAACAAGACTGAATGGTTGAAGACTTGGGGTGAGCAGAGGATCACGAAACACCCAAATACTGCCCAGAGTATTTCTGATTCTGGTATTTGTGATTCGTTATACAACAGTTCGTTCCGGCCACGCAAGCTGATTGGTTGAGAGGCGTTCTAACTGTGCTGTTATTTCACCATAACATCACGTTTTTTCACAAACACTATCACTCCGCTGAGACACCGTTGCTAAGCAAAGACTTTGACAGCTGTAGGAGACGCTCAAGACATTTGAACATTTTTACTTCTTACTTTGCCACAAACAGAAAACGGACACTTTCAAGAACACATTTGACCGACAGCCGATTTGGTCAGACTCTGAAGATGAGACGACACTAAATTCCCAAACTGTCATCACCACTGAGCAGCTTTTCAGTCGGCAGCTGTGACAGAAGAACAGCTGAACAACCTGGAATCAGCCAGAAATGAACCCAATACCATTCGCCAAACTAAATGGGCTGTAAGATGCTTTACAGACTGGCTGGAACAAAACAACATTAATACTGATCTGGCAAAAAATGACAAAACTGAGCTAAACTTGATATTGCAGCAGTTTTATGGCTCAGTC